GGACGACCTCACACACGGAGTGCCACAGTGACCATAATGATACGCGCACAGACCAACGCTTGCAACGGTTCCGAGAACCAAAGCTGTTATGCCAAATCCCAGGCCCGCGCTTGATTTCGACACGCCTTCGTATGCTCCTGAGGATAACACTGTTGTTATCGTGCCATTGAGCACGCCAGATTGACTTGCAGCGCACGAGTACTTTGCGCATTTTTCGTCTTCGCCGCTAAAACAATGCTCAGCGCAAGGACAGCAGAGAAGGATATAAACCAACTCTACTCCCATATGGCAGATCATTCCTAATAATTCGAGGTCATCTTCTGATTCTTCTCGTTCACACATGACTGTGTTTTATAGGGTAAAATTTTAACCGCGGAATCTTGCAAGACTTTCGTTCTCCGAGAGGCGTTATATACGTACGCGTTAAATTAAACTTTTCGTGGAATTACGCTCTTGTTACTTGGAATTTCTTGGAAACATTATCCCACTGCAGATGTCAGAGGGTCAGATGTCGAGAGAAGATTGCATATTTTACATGCATTTGTGAGCGTCTCGCAAATGAGGAGTGCAGGTACCATTCTGAAATCTTAGAATTTTGAGAACTTTCTGAATTAAGATTTGGAGGCATTCTTTATGACCGCCAAGGCCTTCTCGGCGGACAAGTTGGGCCGCACACAAAATGATTTCTCCCCATAGATTTTGGTTCTGAAATTTACTATATATATATAAGGTGGCTTTTGTTTTAGCTTCATATAAGGTATCGTCTTTCAAAATAACGTCATGAATCACAACAAAGTAAAAGAACTCAGTAACGCCCAGGGGTGGACCGAGCATTTTGGCTAACTGATGCGATGTTTTGAACCATACTTCAACACTTCTATGGGGTCTATATTTCGGTATATTCCACCATGCAAAAGTCGAATATACTATATGGTCGAATGTGCCGAAAAATTGCTTACTCGACCATGGTCGAATGGCGGACTCGACCATGGTCGAGTGCGCCGGAAAACGACTTGTTCGAACCATGGTCGAATGCACCGAAAAATGGCTGACTCGACCATGGTTGAATGTGCCGAAAAATGGTATACTCAAACATGATCGAATATACCGGAATATGGAATACTCGACAATGTTCGAATGTTATGACCGAATTATGGTATGACTCGACCATGGTCGAGTATACCGGAGTATGCATGGTATATTATAGGGGTGGCAATAATCATTCTTTGGGAATAATAGTTTTGAACTAGGTTTAACAAAACGAATTACGATTGATCTTGTGAAAAACTCCCAAATAGCGGTTATAAAATGTGTGAGCAAATTTCAATCTAGTAAACAATGAATTACTTTTGACCCTTATGCAGGTGTACATGACTCTAAAAAAAAGAGATTTGCTAAATAGACTGTCGTGAATAAAGTTATTGAAAAAAAATGAACAATAAACCCTATGCATAATGACGTATCAAGCTGTGACAACTGCAGGGAATTCTGGTTTTAATAGTCCCGGCGAAAAATTCAAAATTCAAAATTTCCCGCCGTGATTACTAAAGTAGACCAGAATTCCCTGCAGGACTAGAATTTCACGGCTTGTTACGTTATTATGCATAAGAGGTCTATTTATTATGACACATCCGACAATTTTGGAAATATGACAAAATCATGTTTTAGATTTAAATCAGTTTTGGCAGGAGATTTCTTGCTAAAGAAGAAGAGATTTATATTAACACACAATCAGAAAATACGTCCGTTTAGCGTTGCCGTTGTTGTTGTAACAACAGAGAAACCTTTAGCTTGACGTTTACGGCAAACGCCAAATTGCTAACAAAGTTTGTGTTTTAACTCCAAGGGCGTAGGAAGCATCCAGAGGTTGGGGGGGGGGGCACCAGCGTCTGGGGCACTTTTGGTTAATAAAAATGGCGATTAAAATGGTTAATAAAGATATACAGGGACGGTTTGATTCGCATTTCTTGCATGGGCTTTGTACTGCTAGGGGGGTCCGGGGGCATGCTCCCCCGAGAACATTTTGAGATATAGGCCTCTGAAATGGCCACAAACCCCTCTGAATCTAAGGATTATTGGGAAACTAAGGATTATTTTTTAAAAAAAGGGCACTTTTGGTCCCTTGAAAAATCTTGGGGGGGCACGTGCCCCCAGTGCCCCCCCCTTCCTACGCCACTGTTTAACTCCACTATCTATAAGTGGGCGGCAATTTCGCTAAATTACAAACGAAATTGCCGCACACTTAAAGATATAGTGAGGTTAAAACACAAACTTTGTTAGCGGTTTGGCGTTTGCCGTAAACGTCAAGCTAAAGGTACGGTCTCTAATGTATTGCAACCTGTGGAAACAAAAAATATGTATCACGAAAAATCACGTTTTAAAATTTCAGCTTCACAGAATTTTTAGAAACTCGTTCAAAATTTTCATTTCCCTCTACGAAATCGTTTTGTGAGATGAAAAATGGGGCTAACCGAACTTAATTGTTTTCGAGTAAAATGCGTTGTTGTTACCGTGACAACGGCAATATAGCGTGACAATTTGCAAATAAATCCCGATTGTTAAACTGATGTTGATATATCCATTTAGTTTTTCCCTTTAAAAATAATTCTTTTCCCAAAAAATTGAAATGTAAATCAGGAGTTTGCTAGTTTACAAATTTTTTGGGAGCCAAATACGGTATATTCACCTTTTCAGCAGTTAAACATTTTATTATTCTATTATATGCTTCAATCTGAACGCAAATTAAGTTTATCTCAACGCCTAGAAATAATTGACGCAAACGTTTTTCCGTTTGATGCTTGTTGCAATTGTCAAAAGGTGCAATGTAGATTTTATATTATAGAAAGGTGTTCAGTTAAAAGGTTTTCACTTCTCGTAGTTCAAGTTGCCACCACGAATGCAGCTGGCTGTACAGCGACAACGGGAACCGCAGCGACGAGAACTGGAGGTGGCTGAACGACAATAACTTCAACAGGCGGCGCGCGATAATGACGGTAAGTACACATACCAACGCCACAGCTGATGCCCAGGACCATGGCTGTGATTCCCAATCCCATACATGCGCTTGATTTGGACAAACCGCACGCTCCCGAGGAACACACCGTTGATGTCGTACCATGGGACGAGGAAGATAGACTTGTAGCACACGAGTACCTTGCGCATCCATCGTTTTCCCCATCGAAAAAATACTCAGCACAAGGGAGACAGAGAACGGATCTTAGTACCGCCACGTATGTACTTTGTCTCGGCATAACGTTGTCTTCCAAAGATTCTTTATAATCGCAAGTCTTTTACAATAATGCTCTGGTCTCAATATGAGTTATAAAAAACCGTTTAACTTAAAACCGAAACTATATAGATATGTTGTAGGTTATAATTGCTTTGGCAACGCGAAACTACATTATTTATTCATTATATCGAGTAGTCGGTGGGCCACTTAAGACGGTTTTCCACTAGCGATATTTTTCGCGCGAAGCGACTTTATTATTCTTTTGTATTTGAGCAATTTGTTCCAGATGGTTGCAGTTGAGAGCTCTGAAACAAAAGTAAAATGTCGCTTCTTGCAAAAAATATTGCTAGTGGAAAACCGGCTTTATGCATGGGGGCATGCAATTAAGCCAGCAATCGTTTTCCTGGAAAAGGTACATCACTTTTAAGAATATTTTTCAAAATAGCAACTATGATTTATTAAGTGAATACGATTTATATATCATTGTCACGATTTGAGTGAACAAGTATATATACACCAGTGAGTTTACTCTTGCATCTACGAACAACATTGTCACATCGCTGTTAAAATCTAGATCTACGACATAGACATCGATATATAGACAGGCGTCTGTTTGTGTTCCACAAGCGGATGGTGTAGCCAGCACGATAATTGGGGAAGCAGGCGGGTCATATTCATATATTCATGTTACGCATGCAGAATTAATTTCTTTTCAAACCAATTGTCTTTACAGTCTGATGAATATATGAATATGCCCCCTCCCCTCGCATAGACTACGCGTTGATATATACAAGTATGATGACATGCATCTTTATTTTAACACGAAGTCCATTCACAAGTAAAATCTGTGCTCTTCCCAATATTGAAACATGCTCAATAATATATACAATAGTTATAAAGATATGGAGAAAAACATACGAATTTACGTACATGCATGTAATATATATATATATATATATATATATATATATATATATATATATATATATATATATATATATATGTATATATATATATATATATATATATATATATATATATATATATATATATATATATATATATATATATAAATTTGGGAAATGAGAGAAATGAACGCACTCATGCATGCAAAGATTGCGCACTAGATATTTGGACAGACATGTTATTCCACAAATTTGGTCCTCGTTAGGTAAACTGAACTTTTCTTACGAAATTCTGTCACGGGTCTGGGAACAAAAAACTCGTGGTTCAGTGTCCCATGCACGTAAGTTGTGCTCGTGCAGTGAGGACGAAGGAAAGAATGGTTTGATTAGGTAACTACAGAGTTGCAAAAAGAGTTAAACCTTCCTCCGGTAGGATTTCAAGTTTTGAAAACCTTCCTCAAAATGACGTTACGACACTGAGTCAAGTGGCAACCAGCATAAAGAATTATTTGGTTTTTTTGGTACATGCATGTGATCAATTAGAGTGTTCAACTTTAAACATTCCTCACAAACCGCATTTAAATCAAACCTTTCTCCGGGTGGTACCCGCAGCTTTTTTGCAACTCTGGGTAACTATAGTCTATATAGGAACCATAGTACTATCCGTCTCATACATTAACTTCGTCAACGCTCAACAGAACGTCTTTTAATTTCAAATTCACTGCTTTCCCTTGGTTTCGCAAATAGTTTCTAATAACTGCAGTTATAATGTAGATACTCAGTGCGTATATATGTATGAGTTACGCGATACAATTGGCGGTAAGAAGTGAAATCAGACAGTCAATGCAGTGAGAGTTTGTGGCGATTTTTATTCATAATTTAAATACAAAGTTTTGAAAATACACGTATAATTCATTTGAGTAAAAAATGTACATCTTTCTTCGTATAAAATAATCATCATTTATATCACGGATATCAAAGTTATTCATTCGTTTTTGAGAAACTAAATTTTCAAATCAAAAAACCTCGAAGGTAAAAAATTACTGACTGCTGTTTACATGAGCCCGGTTACCCGAGATTTAACGAAATGTAAGATGATTTTGAGATACTGAAATAAGTCTTTATGAAACTAAACAAGCCATGCTTTAGTTGAGATGATTACACCACTGCCAGGATCATGTTATATGCTAATTTCAATACCTCAAAGCCATTTCACACCTCGTTTGCAGCCCCAGATATCGCGTCTTTCGTTTTCGTTTGATCAGAGCTAGAAAAAAGCTCTATTAAATGAACTTAACCACCCATTTTGTTATTCGAGCGAGTCAATTGTTAGTAGTTTGCGATTTTAGCAGTTGCACATTCAGCGTAAGTCAAAATAGGTTATAACAGCACACATTTTATTTACATCTTTTTAAAACATCTTTAATTTTAGCAATAGATTTGAGTTATAAAACATCTTTTGAGAACCATTATACTTTTCTCATAATGACCTCAACCGCGGGATGCGAAATCTGACACGACGTATGATTGGCTCCGGCGTAAAACTAACGAGCCAATCAAACTTCGTGTAATATCGTTTGACGTCTTATAAGAAAGGTCTATAGCATAACGATTCAGGTATACTTTGAATTTAAAATTGTGCTTGCTGCAGTAGTTTATTTTGACAAACGCTGGATTCGCGCGGTATGATAAAACTTTTTATGATAAAATTTTACCATAGTCGAAATGACGGGACGCGAGGAAACGACTTCTCATGCACTTTGCCAGTTTCCCAAGACCATATTCTAGAATGATCGTTACGCGACTAACGTTTTAAAAAGCTTGTCTCGAACTTCGCAATAATTGCACTAGTGGGTAAAAGATCACCAAACTCGTTCGAAAACAAGTCTTCGAAGTATTCCCAATCACAGTCGCAATGATTCTTAAAGATGTCAACAATTTTCTTCCAGCGAAATATTTTCGTTTCCTGACCAATCTTGTCGGCTTTGGTCCACGCGGCGATGGGCGGAAATTGCTCGTTCCCCTCTTCCCAGAGGCGAACGATGTCCTTTGCGTCGACCTTGCGAGGCAGGGCGTACTTGCGCACCACAGGCCCCCTCGGTGGCGTTTCATTATCGTTGTATTGGTTCACATCGACGCGCGACTCGTACATCGAAATGATGGTCGTGGCGGGCAGGAGCTGACCGTTCTCGTCGGAGTAGAGCTGCTCGAAATCGGCGAGATTCCCGTGGCAATGAAACTTGTAGATATCGTAGATTTTATTCCAACGGGAGATCTTACTTCGTTGCCGAAATCTCTGGAGCGTGTTCCACTCGGAAACTGGCGGCAAATCTCCAAATCCGTTTTCCCAGTAGTAAATGATGTCCAAAGCGTTCACTTTCTTTGGAAGACAAAACTCTTTGGCTTTCCCTTTTGGGGTGCTTTCATCATCCTCCTTATGCTCTATATTACCCTCACCGTGTTCCGCATTATCCTCATCGTGACCCACGTTGTTCATTTCAATGCTCGACGATCGGGATTCGCTCGGCCAAGCTTCGCCATTGTGGTTCGGCGAACGTTTAATCATCGACGCGTAACTCTCGTTTTCAGTGATCTCGTCCTGCATTGAAATGACCGTGGATAACGCCAGCAAATCCCCGTTGGCATTCGAGTACTTCTCCTCGTAAATCCTCCAGTTACCGTTGCATTTCTCATGAAAAATATCTGCGATTTTCCGCCACCGCGACAATTTTGTCGTGTAGCGTAGTTTCTGCGCTGACGACCAGGTCTTGACGGGGGGGAAGTCCCGGCACCCGTGATCCCATAACCATACGATTTCCTTAGCGCCGACACGTTTCGGGAGCTCGTACTGCTCCCCCCTGGCACGACTGTTCTTCGCACTCTTTCGGTACTCCGTAAAGAACGGCGAATACTTCCGACAATGCTTGGAATAAATAATTCCAGCTATCGGAAGCAGCTCACCGTCTGTGTCTGAGAACCTGTCTAGGAACCTGCGAAAATGACTGTCGCAATCCCGTTCGAATATCTCAGCGATTCTGCGAATGTTGTCCAGCAGTTCCAACTGTTGTGTCTGTGCCTCGGTCCAGTTTTTCATGGGAGGCACCTGGTCCGTCCCATGCTCCCAAAGAGACAATGCTTGCACGGCTGTAAGATGTTCAGGTAACACGTATTCCCCGGTATCCGCAACGGTTATTTCAATGTCAACGGCCTGCGGCAACGTGTAACCATTGTCGGTGAAACTCGTCGCGCAATTGTCCCCGATGACTTGAGACGCAAAGCCTGGAGTGATATTGTCGTGAGACTCGTTCTCGTGTTGTTTGTAGCTCGGCGGTCCGGTCGGATTTTCAGCTTCGTACTTCGCCAGAATCGTCGCTATTGGCAACAGTTCACCGCGCTGATTCGTGTACCTTCGGCAGAACTCGTCCCAGTCTCTACAGCACTGAAAGCGGAAAATCTCGTAGATTTTCTTCCACCGGCTAATCTTCGTCTCCTGACCCATCTTCTGCGTTCGCGTCCAGTCCTTGACCGGGCCGAAGGTCTCGCAACCGTCGGTCCAGTACCGTACCACTTCGAACGCGGTCACCTTACGTGGCAGAATCACGCCCTCCGAGTCCCGCGCGGATTGTTCGGGCTTCGGGGAATCAGATGTTGTGGGGGTGTTCGCCGTGGAGGCGGGTGAGGGGGGAGACCGGGCTGTCGCAGGTGTTGTCGTCACAAGTGTCGTTTCAGACTTCGTTGCCGTTTTTGTTACAGATGTTGTATTTTTGTTACGCGGGGTTGCAAGTGATTCGTTGTTCACGTGATCTTGAGAGAACATCGCTTCGTGTTTGGCAAGGATAGTTGCCAATGGCAACAACTCGCCCTTGTCGTTCGAATAACGCTCACAGAAAAGCTCCCAGTCCGAGTTGCAATTGGTTTTGAAGAGATCCACGATTTTCTTCCAGCGGAATATTTTTGTCTCCTGGCCTATCTTCTGCGCCTTGTTCCAGGTGGCGATGGCAGGGAATTCATCGCAGCCTACGTCCCACAGATGGACAACGTCGCGCGCCGTCACCTTTCGTGGTAACACGTAGCGGTTCGTGGTCTCGTTGTCGGGCATTGCCGCCTCCTGAGGTATGCCACCTTCGGCCCCGGGCTCGTTCTCGAACTCGCTCTTAATCTCAGTGGGAGACTTCAGTTCAATCGTGTTCTGCTTTACGTTGCTGTAGCCTTTGCTCAGAAACTGCGAGGACAACTGATTCTCGTGCAAGGCAAGAATTGTTGTGACCGGCAAAAGATCACCGTTGCCATTTGAATACCTTTCCTCAAACAAAGCCATGTCACCATTACAGTCCGTCTTTAGAATATCGATGATCCTCTTCCAACGAGCCAGCTTGCTTTGTGCCTTCATTTTTTGCGCAGGCGTCCAGTTCTTTACCGGGGGGAAAGTACGGCTGCCCTCTTCCCACAAGCGAATAATATCACGAGCCGTGGCCCGTCTCGGTAGGATATACGACTGTTCGTCGGGATTCGGCAACGGCTCGGGAGGCAGGTCGGGACTTTCCGTGAAGGGTCTCGGGTGCGATGATTCATGAAGCGGGGTGGATTCTCGTGGGGACGTTGAGGATGGTGGTAGGATTTCAGGAGACTTGATGTACTGATTCTCCTGGGAGGTAAAAGTCTCCTGGGCTTCACGAGTCGGAGGTGGCGCTGTGTGGCAGGCTAAGAGATGGTTTTGAGCTTCGACCAATTGGGACAGTTTGTCGTGCGATTGTTGGAGAATATCGTGTCTGTTTTGAAGCAGCGTATATTTCTTCTCAAAGGCGGCAAACTTTTGCGCCAATTGCGTGTGACAGTTGCAATGACACGGGGTTACTGGAGATGGCGGTGGCGGCTCGCGGACTGGAACGAGGCCAAAAGCGTGCGGACCGCTGGGGAGCTCATCTGAAGAATCTGTACAAAGGGGTGATACTTCATATTAGTTTACCCACATGAGTCACATGTTCGCTCTTGGCAGCATTCGCCGAAGCAAGGTGGTCAGAGCAGTGCAATGACTTTGCACATGGATACAAAGGTTAATTCGATTCCTGCATGCCGGGAGACAGATAGTTGCTGACCAGGTCTAACTAGTGTATAAATTGCCCTCGATTCTTCATCAAACCACAAAAATAAACACTTACCCGAAAACAGTTCTGATTTGCCATAATCCGAGTTGTACGCATGTCTTCCGATAAATGCACCGTCATCATTAAGAGCAATAACTTCGGGCGCCTTATCATTGGACGTAAACTGGAAGGCATCGTGTGAAACTTGTTGCCCTTGAATGTGATTCGAGTCGTTGCGTCTTTCGTAAGAGATATTCGTCTTGGATTTGAGAACTTTACGTGGTTTGTCCAGGCGAGCGAGTTTTCTGAAAGGCGAAACGCAACGAAAACAAATGAACTGAGTGAAAAAGAAATGGAAGAAAGATGGACTGTGGAGTGATAAAACGGAAACGTACGAGATATTTGGATATTGTCGTAATATCGTATACTATGTAAATATCACACCTTTTGGAAACTTGGACTCTTGGCTGGCTGATATCGCTATTATTCTGTATGGGTACCTATAAAAGGAAAATTGAGCTCGTTATTTGTTCTGTCTTTACGGTTTCCTGCCTGAACTACTGCATGAAGCTAAAGACATCGGCTAATCCTTAGTCGATTACAGTACAGAGGCTAATCGACTATCGATGTTTGGAAGGCAACAAAATCTACAAAGCGAGCTATAAAGAGATCTTAAAAGATGCATTACTATATAATAATTCTTTCACAAATATCTTCCCGAATACAGCAAAGCTTGACGGATATCATATTTGGATATTATATTCGCTCCATAGATAATCGACTATATAGGCCAAGCGCTCAGCATGTAATATCTTAAAATGGATGATAGCCTAAAGCTCCGTTTACGCTGATCAACATGAAGTGGCGGAAATGTGAGTGAAGGAGATTTTTTCAAGAGGGTCAGACTTGTTATGTTAAACCGCCATCGACTGCAGTATTTGTTAATGGAGGGAAAAGCTAGGAAAATAAAGAATACTCAATTTACAACAATGGATCCGTTCTGGTTTAACCCTTACGACTATACGTGCACAAAATCATTGTACAATATATAGGATAAAAGAGATATGCCCGGAAAAATCAGTAGATTCTGTTTTGTAGCATGTTGCAAGCGCTATTTATCCAGTGATATACGTATCTGATACAAATCAATGAACACTCTACCGGACTACCTCCCGGAATTACAAGACTTGTACCGACGAGCAAGTTTCCTCAACAATTTTTCTTGAGAAAGTTTACTTGCTCGCGCGTGAACAATAAACAAATTTCCCTTGACAAGTTTGATTTTGACAAATTTCATTCGCTCGACTATTCGCGAAGATTTGACAAACCTCCTTCACGAGGTGGTATATTTTCCATCTCATAAATTAACGGATTTTCCTGTCCTTAACAACCGCCATGTTGCTCCTATACAGGCGCAATGTCCTTGTTAAAAAGCAGGCTGGACTAGGCTTTAGGCAGGCCCCTTGTGAAGGAAACGTGTAAATTTTCTCCGGTGCATGCAGACATAAAAAACTCAGCAAGGTTAACCTATCAAAAAAACCCTTCCCTTCGATCTACCTCGTAGTGGAAATGTCAAGGAACAGAATATGAAAAATCCTCAAGCTGACATTCAGGCAACTTGTGCTTTCGAGTTTCGACACAAAGCCCAAAATGTATTGCGGTCAACTTTATTAATGTTTTAAAGAACTCGCGTCATTTTAAACGAAGATAGCAGCTGGTGAAACACCACATGTTCCAACGATTGCCCGAAGTGAAAATTTGCCGAATTGGACCAGAAGTTCAGTAAATAATTTGCATAGATTAGCATTTGTGTTCTTTGAGACACGAGCTATATGGTCGTGCATGTATGTGTGACTAAAGCTATTAATATCGGGTAGCGTATCCGTACATGTAATCGACGAAAAGTAATCGCAGTGCACAGTCGAATATAAATACTACACTATAGACTTTCGCTATCCTGTCGTACCTTCCTTGCACTTGCGGTCTTTCCCTTCGCTTTTAAACCATTATTTACCGCATCAATAGTCGGCACAGCGTCCTTATTTAACCTAATCCGAATGCCTAGTTCTCTTGCGACATCTCTACGAGTGGCAAAACAGCTATCTTCGAAGTGTAGCGAGCATAGCGACGACGATTTCGACTTGGAAGGCTTGAAAGCGGGTCGATATCTCGCCACAAAATCCTTCCACGCTTCGTGACGTCTGTTATCCTTTAGTTTGTCGGGGAAATAATGTAACGAGACGTCTTTTGTATATTGCGTGCTAGGACAAACGCGGCCCGTAGGCGAGCCAGCACAACACATACGACCAACAATCTTCTTTCGTTTCACATTACTGGAGAAGTTACACGTCGCCATATTGAATAGGGAAATGAAATACATCACTGTGAGGTCACGCTGCCGGAAAACAGCGTCATAATGAAAGGAAACTGCGGGCATTGTTCACGCCAGTGCGGGGATTATCTAACACCGTCGATCAATATACTTCTTTGACTTCGTGAAAATTTCCGCCAATCGAAATATGTTTACATTATTTCAATATAGTAGGCTGAATAAAATGTCACTCACAACAAGCCGGTGACAATATTACCATTATTGGCGACTTCATTGGTTTCGTTGTTTATGTTAAAACTTCAGTAACACATACACGTCCGGAGTCTTTGAAGTCCTCAATGACAATGTGTAACTGTTTCGTACACATAAGTATAGTGTACATACTGCACACTTTGTGTTGAATTTAATCCTTAGATAAACGAAAGCTGATCTATGAGTCACGTTTATTTACAAAATACAAACTTGATCGATGAGTCATACTATTTACATCCTCCGCAGACAACTTATAAATATAATTAACCTACTAACATTAGAGGTTATCAGGCATCAATTTCGCAGACGGTTAGTTTAGCAATTTAACCTCGAATGCAGAGAGTTCTGAGTAACAGCCCGTCCTATCTTATAGCACAGCTAAAGGTTCATCTCATATGCGCCGGACTTCTGTCCCCGTGCGACGGAGGAGAAAGGAGGATATTGCTCACACTATTTGCAAATTACAAATTCTATGTCTCTATTCTCTAAGATTTGTATCATGTTTAAAAAAAAAGCTGGGCGCAAACGAGAGTTCCGGCGTACATTCTGGAGACAGAAAACCAACTAAAAGCGCACGTGATATATGTACAGCGATTGTGTGAGGTACTTTACAGAAACAAAGCATTAGAGGACCATGTGGCTTATGCGAAGAACACGATTCAGAATCGGAAATCATTTGAGGTAAAATGGTCGCTAATACTGATAGTAATATCAAGTACTTCATATTTGTAAACATTCAACCTCATTAGCATATGATGCATAATCAAGTCAAAACGCGAGGTGTATTCGCTGACTTCGCTGTGTTTGCACAAAAATGGTCGGGTGATGTTGGTGAGTATATTGTCAGTTTGATAGGAAAAAATATCTTGCGGTCGTCTTGCAACTATTTGATAGCCGAGTGCGCCCTTTTCAGGCTATTTTTCTTTGTCTAATAATAATGGCATCACGTTCAGTTTACAAGCTATTTGCGATCAGCGTTTGTCCCCGTTGTAGACTACAGCCTGTAAACGGTTCAGGCTATAGACGGTGGAGTAGCCACGTTTCACAACAATGCATTACGTGCGCATGTATTTTTAAAACTCCAGTCTAGTAAATGACACTTTCCTACATCCCCCCTTGGCCCTTTTTAAATTAAACTTGGTATAAACGGAGCACAGAGACTACCTCTGACATATCCTTTCCATCACGGAGGTACACCCCCTTCACACCTGACATAACACCCCTGAACGTGTACCCCAGGCAACTTGTGATTGTCTGATATTTTTATAGAACAAAATTGCTGATGTAAGCCCATTCTTTGCAGCTGAATGCCTAAAATAGAGTTGTTTCCCAACTAATTTCTCTTAAGACCACTGCTGCAAACTGCAAAGTCTAAATCTGTGCAATTTGCAAAATCCTCCGGAGAGAGAGAGGATATGGAATATAGCTTCTTCAATGCACCTTCTAGAGAATTGTGACTGACCAGCCATGGGCATGCGTCTAAATTCACCATACAGGGCTTCGTTTTTCCCCCTTTTGCTATTTCACTATATATTCACCTTTTGCAATTCCTATTTTCTCAAGAGAGCTGCATAATTATTACACAACTTGTCTCTTTATAGATACTCAGCTTATTATAGGTCTTTATATATAGTTGTATATTTTAGGTTGAGTACCATAGTGCAGCCAACCCCTCTTAAATATGGCAAAGAGAGCATTTTTGTGGAAGAGCATATAAAGAAAAAGTTTGTGAATTTCTCCAGGAGGTTGGAAGATGTTTGGAAGGGATGTAAGTATTTTGGTAATACAGTGCTTTTGAAAGCAAGGCAAAACAGATTTATAGTCACACCCCCCTCAACAGTGTTCATGCAGGTTGGCATTTGGCATAACCAGACCTATTTACTATTATTCTTTGTATAGTAATAAAGGGTGCGAAACTGGGAACTCTGGGGAACAGTGCCATCCATTTTCTGAATGGTTCTGCAATCCTAGTAATGAATAGGAATAATTCCTTTTAAGAAAATAATTTATCTTGGTTACATTATGCCTATGTGAATATCATATCCCAATTAATCAATCAACATGGTTCTAGTCTAAAACAATGTCCATCAATATTTTCTAAAGGAATAATGATGGATGGACACAGCATTTCAATTGGGAAATTTTGCATGCAAGAGAAATATTTATGTGTGAAAGTTAAGAGGCCATTTGTGATATGATATCAGCAACTTTGATCAAGTGGGCTGATAGTTTGAAAAAAGGTGTTTGAATGGCCAGTAATGTGTAAGACAGATTAAACACAGGTTACATGGGTGAAATTGGGGTCATTGGGTAGGAAAACTACCTGACAAAAAAGGCTGAACCCTTAATGATATTACTTTAATGATTCATAAACGTTGGCTTAAACTTCACTGATGTTTTAACTGCGATGTTTGAGCATGAAGCTGAAAATATGCAAACAACAACACCGACTCAATGGCCTTGACCTTGCTCCGTAAAAACGAAAACAAAGCCAGTCGCATTTAAAAGTCGAAATATTTTCATATTTTATCGTAAAATCGTGTTCCCGGAGGTAAATGCTTCAAGAATCGACGAGAAAACTGCATTAGCGATGCACAAAAGCCGCCTAAAACGTTATCGAGTAGAAGTACTTCACGTATTTAAATAACCTAATGTCGCAATTAGGAAATGAACATCTGAAGACCAAGCGAAGTCGGGTGAATAAAAGTGTAATAAAACTATTAAAAAAAACGATCGAAAACAAAGTATAGTTCAAAAAACCAATTCAACTTCCCCTTAGTAAGGCATGACTTCGAGTCAGTGTTGATGTGGAAATGCAAAAAATAGCAGTGAAGGCGTTCACCTTCGTAAAAGGAGTCAAAGCTTCCTTTCACTTGCCGATTGTCGATTGAAAGAGAAAATTTAAAGAATGTGTATTACAAACCATTTCTGTCGCCCGATACCCAGTCTTATCCTGTCCCCATTTTTCGATTCCAGCATCCATTTTCCGTCCTTCTCCTAAAAAAAGAGCCAGAAACGCCGTCCGATTCGGTGAGGATCCAAAAATGCTTACAGCAACCCGATCAAGTGGACATTCGAAATGGCAAATATTTGAAAGATATGAGGTGTACGAAGTTTGCCGAAATTTGAAATTAAAAGCAATACCCACCGTTTAAATGCTGCCGGTATCGGCAGCGCTTTATTTTTAGGTCGTACCAAGGCTAAGATCGCATTTGCAAAACTTTTCACGTGTTTAAAGTCCTCCAATCTTGATATTTAAATGCAAGAAGATAAATGGTTGGTCTGTGAGGAAGGGCGAAAGGTGACGCTCGAATGAAAAGGAAAACACAAGACAATTTTACCCCGACCGGGTAGAGGTGAGGTCACTTAAAAGGCTTCTTTTACCTAATCTGAAACGAACTTCACGAATAAGAAGGTTGTTAAAACTCTTGCAAAATATACAAAGGTTTCTTTGAATGTTTTGAAATTAATTTAAACAGAAAGATACGATGCCTTAGGAATATATACTTTTTTCCACCCCCTGCTAAGGCGCATCAATTTTGCTCGCTTTAGGCTTCCAGTTCCACACGGCCAGCCACAACTTGTTGTTTTTGCAGATCAATATGAATTTGCATGTTGTGAAATGGATTTGTGAATAGGTAGGAAGTAGCTACCTTGTAATGTCACTGGCTGTAGCAGACAAGCTTCTGAGAGCCTTCGAAGCTTTAAAGAACTTCAAGGATGGAACGTCTAATTCAGATCCCAACGTCGCTGTCACAGTCAAGTAAGTTGATCTGCAGTTTATAGAGAGTATTAAATTTTTTACAAAGTACATAAACTTTACCACAACACGATGAATGAATGTCATGGTTAGGAAAATGGGCATTTTTTGTGTGTATGCAATGCTGAAACTATCATTTTTGAACTTCATTGCTACGATCATTACCAACATATCTTTCGACTCAAAGGTGGCCATTTGTTACTTCTATTTGGCAATAAGTTTTATATAATTCTTATATAATGAAATACCACTTCTCCTGCTGGCAATCAAAGCTGTCTGGCATTAGACATAGTGGTTCCTGAAGTTAGGAACATCCGAGGGCATTGCAGGAGTCATTAATTGTCCTGTTTACCTTCCTTGGGTCAACATTGGTGTGCATTTAATTTGTAACATAACAGTGGAACCTGCAAATCTGACTAATTGGATCCAACCTGAGATTAAGCTATATTCTGCTGTCCAGACAGAGGGAGGAGGCACTGACCATAAAAGAAGCTTTCTCATAATGAAACCACATCGATACAATGACAATATGGGGTGGGGATATGTGAATGGCATATATGGGACGTACATCACATATAGTGAGACTTTATCACAATACCAATATTCCTTCAAAAGCTTCTTAACACCATAGCAATTAGTCACAAACAATTTGTACTCTGTTATTCATGACTGAATAAACATGCATAAAAATAATTGATCTCAAACATCACCATCTGCAAATAAACAAATAAACAATACATCGATCATTTAAACAATATACATCTCTGTTTGTATATTATAAAAAGGTTCTTTTCACCTTGAAAAGCTCTGATTTCTTTTAAATTTTAGAAAGAAAGAGTCCACACTCTCTAAAAAGGATAGAATAACTAATTTAAATATAATTGGGGATTTGACATGCTCACCACTTTTGAGGTACTGTACACGATGTATGTTAGCAATGTAAATATCTGATTTTAGTGTCTATATTCCGCATATGTATCTGGTATAGAAGAGACCTATTCTTCGAGCTTACAGAGACATTCTTCTTTAGAAATCTTGGTGAATTTGGCAAGCTTATTGCAGTCTCAATTGAAACTCTGCTTTCGTTCTGTGATGATCCAGAGCCAGATGTTCGTCTTGTGGCTGGGGACTGCATTAATCGCATCACCAAGGTAATGTTTCTATAGCAATAATCCATCCTGATTCACTTAGATTCACCTTAGCTTTCTCTTTGAATCATTTTCAAACCAAAATAGGGTTTTATGGATAGCAACGTTGCTCGTATTCATGTGGAACTGTACAAAGAAATAAAAAAGGTGTGTTTCATATGTATTTATATATCAAGTTAATCTGCTGTGAGAGCACAACCTAATAAAGAGTGCTTTATGTGATATTTTTGGTAGAATGGCAATTCAAGATGTCTCAGAGCAGCATTGTCAAAGTTTACTGAAATCTGTTATTTAATACGACCCCACAAATGCAGGTAAATACCTACTGTACAAGTTTAGATACTATAAGTGTTTAAAAATGAAATGTGTTATAGGAGCCATATTTATGATAACAAGCCTGCTTATGATTTCAGGCCTTTCATCACAAATCTTTTACCATGCTTGGCAAGAATATGTTCTAGACCTGAAGAGTCAGTCCAGGTACAGTATAGTTCAGTGGCCTACAAAACCAATGGATAGCACTAAAAATTCATCCAGAGTTATATCCTTTTGTTAGTTGTAATGTATTGTTTGTACAGTACTCCCTTGAAGCTCATCACAAACGCTTGTTTTAGGAAACACTAGCAATTGCAATGAAAAGAATGATGCCAGTTCTTGGTGCATTTATGAATGACAAAGAGACGAAGGTATTGTATTTTTTATGTAGCTACAAGCCACAGAAGGTTCACACTTTGAAAGCTTTTGAACATTTTTAAAATGTGTTTTCTATAGATTTTATTGAAAACGTTTCTTCAAAACGTCCATTCAACTTCTGCGCAAACACGACGTACATCAGCATCGTCAATAACTATGATTTGTCTTCATGCAAGAAAACCTTCAGTGTTCTTCTCCTGGGTTATAAACATATTGCTTGGTAAGGATGGATGTGGATGGATAGAATAACTGGATAAATGAATAGCAGTTGCATAAATAGATGGATAGGTAGAAGGATAAGTAGGTGGATAGAATGATAGGTAAGGGATAGATTGATGGATAGTTGGATAGAAGTTAGATGGATGGATGGATGGATGGATGGATGGATGGATGGATGGATGGATGGATGGATGGATGGATGGATGGATGGATGGATGGATGGGTGGATTGAAAGTTGGATAGAAAGAAAGGTAGATGGACAGATAGAAGGGTTGATAAAGTGATGGGTAAATAGGTACATTGATGGAAAATGGATGAAAATAGGGACAAATGAGTGGATGGATAGAAGGGTGAGTCGATGCGTGATGGACTGATAGAAAGAATGATATCACCCATGGCTGAAAAACTCTAACTTACACCAGTGTTAAATTGTCATTGACTGTTTATGACCCTTATCTTCTCATCAATCTTCAAACCTCAGAGTCCATGTTGCCGTTCTCAGTGGATCAAAATTCGCCGGCATACTGTGGTGCTTTGCTTTGCTTGCGTCATATCGTGCCTCACCTTGGCAACGAGGAACAGGAGAACGAAGTTGTCATGCGTGGAAGCTTCGGTGTCATTCATCAACAGAAACGAAATGGTAGCGAGGAAATGCTGGAGAAGGAAGAAAAACAGCTTCTTCAGGTATCTCAAGTTTTTTATATCCAAAAACTCCAGGAAGAATCTTTTTCAACGTTGAATCATTTCTTGAATAGTACTTTTCACATTATATGAGCCATTCTCGACCACAGAAAATTATCTAGTCTTTTTTAAATCAAATTTATTAGAGGAAGGGTCATATGACATATATCTAGAACGAGCCCTATTATGCGCGCCTTTGCATCAATCAATCAGAGGCTTGCTTTTGAAGCCTCAGGAACTTTATCTTCACTCCGTTTTTGTAGATGTACAAATTGGTGATGCTCTCGACTAAACATTGCGATCACAACGTTGTGACTGCTGGCCTTGAAGCGTTGCAGCAGTTACTGCAATCACCACCAAGGAAGTTGCTTTATCAACTTATGTCTCAGCAAGGACTTGCGGCGTTTTCAAATAAGGATCGCTCAGGTTTGTTGAGAATCACTGTCCGTAACCCTTTGCAGTTGAATTACACACTATTCCAGTAGATTAGGCTGAGAACCTTAGCCAAACGTTCGAGGTATATATTTACCTGCTGTATTTTGCGCTCTAGAAAGTTTCCGGGGGGCGGTTGTTCGAAAGGCGTTTAGCTTAAACGGTGGATAAGTTCAAAACAAAATTACCTCTTTATTGAACAACTGAGCTGAAATATTTCGACGTGAATAGCTTAATTTTCAATGGAAGTACATATTTAATTTATTTAAGATGCACGTTCAGTCAATCACAAGATGTATGAGAGTATTTTTAAACTTTGACTTATCCACCGTTTAAGCTAAACGCCTTTCGAACAACCGGCCCCAGTAGTTGACTTTGTTACAACACAAGCTACGGTGATAAACTAATTCGCGGGTTTTATGTGATATATTGCACGCGGTACATCAGAGAAAGGCAAGCCGATCGTGTAATAAATGAAGATAATTTCCCCGCAGAGAGTTTTCTTAGCACATCGTTGGAAGATATCGATTCGCTTTCCTTCGCGTCGCAACAAGATTCTGGTATCGAGGAACCGCTGAGCGAGATGAGCGTAGATGGAGGGAGCGTGAAGGACGGAGAAATGGGCACGAGCGTTGCAGATATTCAAGAACTGCGTAGACATTTCTCTCAGCCTGAGGACAGCACATCCGTGGGCAGTATCGAAACAGCATCAGAAATTTCAGAGAATGGCGTCGAAGGATCCAGTTCTGTGGATACAGAAAGCGACAGCAATTTGGGCCATCACAGATCCGACTCCAACACAAGCGGTATTCTCACCCAGGCCAGCTCGACCGATGAGCTGGACAGGGATGAAAAGGAACAAGAGATAATAGCCATGGATGACCAGGAACCAGAGTTTGAAAACGACGAAAGCAAAGGTGTCGACGACGGGTTTAACATCGACCCGGTTGTTTGCGAAGGCGTGCCTTTGCTTCATTGCGCAAGGGTGATGTGTTCGTTTCTACTCTCGGGAAAGAGCGGCGAGATATTGTCGGATCGCAAGGTTCGCGTCAGTGTTAAATCGCTCGCGTTGAACTGCTTGGGTGCCATATTTAAGATCTATCCGCAAGTATTTCTGGCGCGTGTTCTACCAGCAGGAGAGGGCGAGGAGACTGGTGATGAGAGCTACCAACAGATGATACGAGAAGTGTTGTTGTATGTGGAACATCACGATCCTACCATTCGAGGCAGCCTTGCCGTGTTGTTAGGAAATTTTATTAATTCCTCTCTTGTAAGATCAAGGTAAGATTATATCAACTGTTTGCGCATAGTATACTATCACCCCATTTTATACACGTGACTCTGCAGTCAACACCCGGCAATTGGAATACACAACTGTAGTTCAGTCAATAACTGTATAGTTCAGTTGACTTGAGCGCTGCATCGGAATCGCTAAGCCCCAGGATCGATTCCCACCAGAGAGTCTGAAACTGCATTAAACGCAATTTCGTATTGATTTAGGTACGACTTTGAAACGTGGTCTTCTGACGTGTGTGATCAACTTAACACGGGTGAGTCGATGAATCTTTCCGGCGTTGTTTTCGAGCGTTTTCAAAATCGTTTGTATCTATTTTATCGCTTTGACGCCTTGTCCACACGATCCAAGGGAAAGTATGCTCAATATGTTAAATTAGTTTTAACTTTTATTGTAAATTGACGGTGTTTGAAACCGTTTTGGCATGAAAACGAAAATGAAAACGCTGGGAAACGTTACCGTGTGCACATAGTCGAAAAGAACCTGGAATTATGAAATTATTCCCATTCTTGTTTTTCGCATCTCGCCAGATCATGTGAAGATCGATGATCTGTTAGGCGTCTTGGAAAAGATACTTCTCGACGATTCTTCGTTCACCGTGAAATTGGCCTGTCTAGGAGTACAGGTATTGTTTCAGACTTTCAGTAAAGTTTCAGTATTCGTCCCCAGCGCATGTGACAGCTCTGCATGCTTTTCAGCTAGTGGTGTGATCAGAAATTTCCGGTATAAAAAGCTGAAACCTCTTCTACACTAGCCTGCAACGCAGACTATATATTGGGGTATATATATATATATATATATATAAATATATATATATATATATATATATATATATATATATATATATATATATATATATATATATATATATATATATATATATATGGGGGGTATATACCCCAATATATAGTCTGCGTTGCAGGCTACTTCTACACATTTAAGCGATTTTCTTTTTGTTTGTAGCAATGTCTTCCAGCTCTTTGCCTAAGTTCTTATACAACCCTGACACTACAACTTTGTCTTAAATTGGTGCGGTTAAAACAGAATTCATATTGGCTAGTCAAGGTAAATTAACAAAACTATCGGAAAAACCGTTTTCTATCATAGGGTCAGAATCCAACACTTAGGCTAAGAATTTGGGGTTTAAAAATATATCTTTTCATGCCATCCTCTTTAGTGCGAACTTCTACAGATAATTGGGAACCTGAACTACAGGTACGCACTAATTTTTTCAAGTCATAATTCCAATTTGATTTGGGCTGATTTTTTTCTATTGCAAAATCTAGTTTGATCGCTTTCCTTGAAAAACAAGCCAGTTGCATTTCATCCGAGCAATCTACGGTGAGTTCTGTTCACACGACCCACGATTAATGTCAGACTACATTCCATACCTCAGAAGTGAATTGAATCCAACAAATAGGATCGTGTGAACAGACATTTAGAGACTTCAGTTTCTTAAATTGTTAGTCTAGATTTATCTTTCCTCCCCCCAGTCATGCGGTTGATTCACTCCCCCGGTCATGCAGTTGATTTATCTTCATTCCCCCCGGTCATGCAGTTGATTCATCTTCACTCCCCCCGGCCGTGCAGCTGATGTAAATAAGTACGCCCCTAATAAAAGAATTAATGAAAGAGGGATGTTCTTCTCCTAGGCCTTGAGGTGACTCCCCCAGGACGACTCTATCTAAACTAATGATACTATCTCTTTGTCATCAGAAAACGTGTTTCAATCTTCAACAAACATTCTTTCGCGATGTCCTGCTAGAATTGCTCGCAGATGATGACCCGAGAGTCAGGTCTGAAGCGACAGAAACCATTGTAAAGTAAGTTCAATTGTTTTGTTTTACAAATGCATTGATGGAAAAAATTATGTGTTTGAACTCCAGTGTAGAATAGATTCTGGAGATCCAAATTTTCACTTCTAAAATGTGAAGAAAACTTATGCAAGACGTGACACGGATATATAAGTCGATGTAACTTTTGTACTCTGACTAAATGGCTCTAACTTTCGTGCTTTAAACATAACCTGAAAGGTAGATTCCAGCATAAAACCTTTCCTTTTTAGATTGGTTCGAAATATGCATGTTGAAAATGAACAGCCATTGATCGCTATTGCCAAAAGATCTTTAAGTGAGTAGGCTTTTATATGACTAGATAATCAATATGTTATTTTAATCTATTGGTCTCTACCCTGTAATAAAAGTCACTAAGGCTGTTATTTCTATTAGTTTGAATGCAAGGAAAACATTTGCAATACTTTTCGTTGATTTTTTAAGGAGAAACGTTTGGCTCTTCATATGGAAATGAAAATTTTGTCATCAAGGCAAACCTTGCTAGGGTCGTGACATCACTCAGTCAAAAACTCAATGTGGCTACTTCAAAGCACTCATTGGCAAGTATATACATAACAATCCATCTATAATAATTTCTAAATATGATTATCTCTAGAGAGTTTCCTCGCTGCCCCGTAACCCACGCATAAGTCTCAACAAAGTTAATATTTACTTTCATATTTTACAACATCTTTGCTTTTGATAATTCCAGTTAGGTTACTGCGAGGCGTTGTCGTCACTTTCAAAGTCGTACCCAGTACCCAGCTGGCCTGTGTGCTGGTCATGTGACGTACACGCCATCACGCGTAGTCCTTCCCCAACGGGAAAAACCGGATTTACTGGTCACGTGTTTCCATCGGCCTCTTCTCCAAATGAACCGCTTGTGTCTTCTATACTTTGCAATAACGGTGGTGGTTCGCTGTCGTTCGTCATCGAACTCATGACGTCATCTTGGCTCACGTTTAATCTCCACGGTCACGAAGATGCTCTTTTGGTAGGTAGAACACTAACGCATCTATTCATTGCTCTGATTGGCTAGATTTTTTGCTGATCTATATACAGTTCAATGACTGTAGAAAGAACTGCACTAGTTGACTGAATAGTTAAGAGAAAAGAGTAGTTAAGAGTTTTGTACAGCGGACGGTAGATCGTTATGTTTACTGCTTTTCAGTTGGTTGGTAATCTTCTCATTGGCATAGCAAGCAGTTCTTTAACCCTTGGTCATTCTGACGTCAGCTCCACGGAGTCGCCTGGGAAATGGTCCGTCTTCGCTGATCTCTCAATTGCTGCTTTGGCTGACAAAGTTTTTGTTCATGTTCTCAGGTATGACAAGGCGCGTCTAAACTGGATATGTCTGAAATCGGCTCGATGAATTTCTCAGAGATCGTGAATTGTGAAATATTTTCCCGTATTTTTCTAGATTGTTAAATATTTGTTTTCATGTTATTGATAATGTCACGCCCGGGGCCCACAGTGCAAAGGTGAGTGTTTTGCATGGAAATTATCGTGTATTAAAATTTTTCGGCCTGCAAAGCTAAAGATCCTTTTAGACGTTGTGCTTTTCATGAGACGATGAAATACATAGGACCTAACTTCACAGTCTTGTCTTTAGTAGGGGTACCATAAGCTCCGAGGGGTAGGAGCAGGTACGTTTTTTAACCGATTTTAAATCGACTTTCTAGCCGTCGTTGCTCAGTAAAGACAAGGACAAATCCTCGGCCCCAATCCCCGGAGCAGCCGTTCCAACATCAAACCCAACTTCGACCGCTCCAAATATTCCCGGTTCTAAAAGACTACTAAACAGATCGCGTAGAAACACTGAGACGGACGCGGCTGGTGTCGGGGGCGAAAAGGGATCGACTGGGAAAGGCAGCGATAGCGAGGGAAAGTCGAGTACAACCGGGACATTGCTAGGACAGTTTCATCATCTTCCACATTATCATCAACTATACGAAGTTATCAAAGGCGTCTTTTCAAATTACAAGGTACGATTCATACGCACGGTTAGAATACCAGATTGGAATTGTGTAATATCCTGTTTACAGTGTTATAAACTAGTTCCTATTGTTCTTATTCATGTTGCCATCGATGAAAGATAATGTGTATTTTTGCATAACGAAGCAATTTTAATTACTCTGTAATTTCAGGTAAATCTTAAATTTAATGAGGACGATAAGTTTGTGAAGCTACTCAAGACAATCTTGACAGTTTTTGCAATGCTGCTAGAAATTGTCACGTTCTCGGACATAGGAAAGGTAACTAAGCTATTTATCTTGTCTAGAATAGATTCTTACACCCCTCATAATAAAGCTGCAAATGCGAATTATTATTTCATTTAAGCAAGAGAATTGAATCATCTCGTGTATCAAATAGCCTTTTTCATCTCTTTGTTATTTTCGTTATTATAAACTTTTTGCTCGGCAGAGTAAATCTAAAAATACTATAATTGAACTTAATTTGAATGCTAATGGTGGTGTGAATTCTTAACCTTTTCAGAATGTGGAAGAAATAATTAGCTATTTACAAGCGACGGTTAAATGCGACCCTGCGACCACATTTCTTTGCGTTCAACAGGTAAGCCAGCATGTTTCTCGTTTGTTTCATCATGTATCTGCCAATTACATTCAAACTTGAGTATTTTGCTTGAACGCCTTCTATATACATATCCTAAACCCAAGGCGATATAGCTTTCGTATAACTTATATATTATCATATAACTCCTTTATTAAGCACTTCAGCAGAATGTATTCTTTCGTTCGTTAACTTTGCAATCATATATAAAAACTAAGCCTAGTTTAACTATTTGATTTAGATGTTGCGTGCCATATTTGGTGTAAACGTGGCTACACAGCCGGAAAGCTGTTCCTCGAACTCGCCTTACCAAAAAGATGCGCTGATCACGGACATCCAACTACCGTCATCTCTGGAAGTGTTGGTGAAGAATTCGGGTGATGCTGGATTTTATCATTCGTATTTTGAAGGATTTCAACAAGAGCTCACGCGAACATTTGAGGAAATCAGAAAAAGTGATAATGAAGCGAAGGAAAGCAAAAGGTATTTATATTTGTCATGTGCGAAAGTAGAGTTTTGAAACACTGCAAATGTTTTGAAACGAAAATGAAAAACAAGGAGCTTGTAATATAAACATGTATGTTAACCAACTTTTTCAGTATAATACTCAGAGGTGTTTTATAATAATGTTATTTAAAATTACTTGAAAACGGTAGCCCGTATAAATTCTATCGTTATTTCCAGCTTCAAAGACTTTGGTTTCATAAAAAGGCTTCGAGAACGACGTTCATCATTTAGACCACCATTGAAGGTAGATAAGGTATGTTAAACCTTGACATATTACCGTGCAGTTATCAGTTTGCCAAACAGGGAAAATCATTGTGACAACATTACGCTGCTTCGTTGCAGCAAGTTCATATTCATACGTACATCAGAATGTTTGAACCGTTGGTGATTCAAGCCTTAAAAGAATACACAAGTTCTAGCGATATCCGTGTTCAAGCGCAGGTTCTTAGTATCTTGGTTCAACTCATCAGGTTGAGAGTGAATTATGCTCTTCTTGATTCGGAACAGGTATTTCAAATAACTGGAAATCTGTCCTATATTGTAAACAGAACTATAGGCAATTCATTTTGTGCACGGATGTATTACACTCCATCTTGGTTTAACGATGTCTTTTCATCCCATTCACCCAGGCATTCTTGAATTTTGTTCTGAAGCAGTTTGAATTTATCGAAGCTGGTCAAATAAGGTGAAGGAGTAGTAAACTGAACTCTAAGAGAACTGGAACGATAACGTGGCCGCCATCTTTAGAGCCATATGTTTTTCTAATAAAGTACGCTACAATTTCAGGATTTTATACTTTGAACAATTAGAATTTTTCACCCAATCATAGCGTTTCATGAGCAGTTATCGTTCCAGTATGTATTGAGCTCACTGGTGTCGAAACAATGTGAAAAATAATAAATACCAAACGTTAGAACTGTAGAAGTATTTCGCAGCTAATAGTGTTTGCAATTCTGATTGCTGGCGTTATATCTAAAAGCGGGTATATTTTTTTGTTAATTTCTGTAGACACATAGAAACGTTTTCCCCGCACATATTCCAGTTTCTCATCCTGCTTTCCTACGAGTGTTTCCAACCGAAATTCAACCAAGCAAAATCTGTGTTTGGGATGTCGAGAATAATTCAAGTCTGTGACGATCTCATGGCGTGTGGCCAGTCCGCAAGAACACACGGTTAGGATTTTGAAAAGTTTTTGTTTGCCTAAACTCGTGACAATTCCATAATGTTATGTATGTTTTTTAGCCATTCCAGCACTTTGCCCAATCGTGTACGATTTATTTGACACCCAAGCGACTGGAAGAAATGAAAACACCAAAGAACTTGAAACACAAAGAGAAGTGTTTATTTCAATGTTACTCAGACTGGCTCAATTTCCCGAGGTACAAAACTTTATTATTTTTGAACTCAACGCGATATATTTTGGTGGAACTTCTTATAGGCAGACCTTCATCATGTGAACATCCTGTTTTTGAATCGCATGCAAGACGCACGTGGACAGAAATATAGTCACAAGACGAGGATGCTTGTGTACAAAATATATCCTCATTTTTTCAGGTTCTCAACCTGCTTGTCTATGTCCTGACGTTCTATCGGAAAAACGATGAAAAGTGGAAGAAATTTTCCAGACAAGCTGTCGACATTACTTTACAAATGCTAATCAAGCAACAGGTGTGCACTGTGATAAATTATATCCACAACAAGGAGTCAGTATGAAGCGTGCAAGTCTTGCTAGCGAGGTCGCTCGTTCCTACTCATTCCGTATCAGTATAGCAACCCTATTTCCTCTTCTTCCGTTTCGCCTTCTGAGAAAGGATGAAGTACTATTCCTCTACTGTTAAAGTGTTTACAAATTGTGAATTCTAGTTGATAAGGTTGCCATTTTATTTTAAGGTTATCATTGATGACATGGAAGGTCTGAAGAGTCTGGAAAATCTCTTTGACTCTGTTGCTCCTATTGCACTCCGTCCTCTTGATGTGATTTTGAAGGCAATATTTGCCCCGGCAATCTTAGTATGTAAATCTATTTAAACCCTGTCTTTACTGTAGACCAATGGTGATTGTGTTCAGCATTAATTTAGCGTGTTAAAAAGATAGATTTTCATACCGTGAATTCATATCTCTTCGTTCGAGACTCATTCATATGTCCCTTCAGCCAAGCACGTTGCTGATGAAAAGATGGCTCTCTCAAGTCATCGTGCTGCTCAAAGTGATCGTCACCCATAGCACTGAAGAGAATCTTTTATCACGAATAACACAACTGGGGTTCACCGGCGGATTAACTGGGAACATTATGGATGACGAGGAGCTCGATGTGTCTAATATAATATCGGAGAGCAATCCAGCCAGGGTGAGATTATTGACCATAGTAGATAACTGGATATGTCTTCACGATTGGTACTTCATGTATCCATAGTTCTGGAGTAGCATCTTTACACGGCAACATTCTGTATAAACGTTTGATAACTTTCCTACAGGTTATGGCTTATTTCCTATTCCGAGCTCTCTATTTGGCCGTCAAGAATTCATCGATGGTGGCAGATTTACAAGATCAGGATGGTGTTGAGTTTATATCGCAACAGACATCCAGTTTAATGTTGTATATTCAGGAAATAACGAGATCAGGTAAAGGCATATTTGTATTGTATATTTGAATTTCAGGGGGCTGAAAATTTTCTCTTTTCGCAACAGCTCCTGATAAGGTTGAAAAATTCTACATTAATTTTACTTCGGTTATTCCATCCACAACGCTTTTTGCTCCAAACTTCTCAGCAATATAATAAAAATCGTTTACCACTCAGGTCTATTCAAGAACCTTAGCCGCGCATGCTCGGATATTCTGAAAGAACACTTGGTCAGCGGCGATAAGCCTTCCCAAGCCATGGAAACGATAATAAAGAGGATTCACGAGATATGCGTGTCGATTAAAGAGACCCAACCTGTCCTGTGTCTCCAGTGGATACAACTCGTGTTTCTCTTTGAGTTTGACAACGATGCCTGGTGGAGATCATTGCAAGGTTTTTATATAGCTATTTTAATTTCTTTGATATTGAAGCACGTCAGTGTTTATAAAGTTCCGATACTTTTTCTGAAGCCAAGCGTATCATATAGGATATAGACCACTGACCACTCTGGCAAAGTATGACATAAAATTTTAAAATTTGTGAAGGGAATATATATTCTGTGAACATTTTACTTGGATAAACGCTCGGGAAATGCTCAAATTAATATATATTCTCGAATTAGTTTACTTGACTTGTCGATCATTGAGCTCATGCATATGAGATACATGGGTGCATTTATATATAGCTAAGTCGTATTCCTATGTTCCAGGTGAAATGATGAGTCAAAAACGTCTTTCGGTAAACGGACATATCTCTCTGAAGGGGACGTTTCTTGTTTGTTGCAAGATACTAACAACCCAATTAAAAGTAAGTAAAGTAGGAAACTGAACGAAATGAAGCGAAAATGGAATGAGTGGAAATGCTCACCAACTGTTTCCACTTCTTATAGCAAGTTGAAGACACCAGTGAATTTCAAAACTTCCTGGAGGGAAATTTATTAAATATAATCGAGATGGCTCGTGAACCACCGGTAAAGATGTTATTAAGGTCAGTGTTTCGCCTTTACTTATTTATAATCCAGTTTTCCCTTCGCAGTTTATTCTATTTTCATTAGTCTCTCACTCGCGGGAGGTATTGCAATTATATTTCAGACAAATACACAGCAGTTCCACATGCAGTCAAGCGTTCATTGTTGTAGTCAAAGGCTCCTGTAGAAATACAAAAAGTTGGACGAAGCACTCGGTATGTTTTGCCTTAGATTTCGAACAAAAAACATGCGGAAAACATGCATACAAATTGCATTTGGGATTTATTTACACCGTTTGTTCACGGTTTATAAAACGTTTTACAGCCATCGTTTTCTCATCCATCGTGCGTTTCTCTATAGTTGGAGTTCAGGAAGAATTTGCTGGTCATCTTGGACGACTTACACTATAAGCAATCAAACGATCTCATCCAACTGCTAATCGCGGATTTTCTCAACAGTCATTATCGCGCTATAACGAGAAAATGTGAGACGATGATCTGCAGTAGACTGGAGTACTGTATGTCACTACCGAAAGAGGTATAGCTTTCCTACTAATACAGGGTACCCATCTTTTTGAATTGCAAAATAATAGACTCCAAAATACAAAGGAAATGCTAAAAATTACACGTAATTGATATATTTCTTTTAGGAATTTGAAGAGTTTTTTTCTTCAGAAGATATAAAAGGCATTCATAATTCATTAGTTGCTATTGGTGTCACGAAAAGGTACGTCTATTTTAGTTCTGCCACTGGAGTTTATAGTGATTGAGAGTGAATTCTGAGAATCATTTCTGATTTTCTAGAAATCCGCGTTTGGCGTCTCTTATATCACATCTCTCACCGGAGCCGTTCAGCGTGACAACAGTGGAGAACACAATTGATTGCAAGGCCGCAATTTCTGCTCTGAAAACAAAACAAACAATTAATGTGGTTAGTACAGTCTATAATCTGTTACACTTATAGCTTAGGGCAAAAAAGGTGATGGTTTAGCTAGGATAATAGTTGCCCAGCATGCAAGAGTTTTCGTTAGAGTTTTATATTTTCCACTTAATATTTCTGCATATTATAGATATAGGTAGAAATTATTCTCATCAAAGTTTATCTGTTGCCTGACATTTGTGTTTCTCTTTAGAGCTGGTTTTACTCGTTTGTCCACAACTGTTGTTGTTCTGGCAAAATGAATGAAGTTGTCATCAAAAGTTGCTCCGAAGTTGTACATCTGTTGCATGCCTTGAGCTTTGAAAAAATCTCAGCAATCATGGATGAAGAGGTGCGACCTTGTGATTATTTTTTCCCTCGTGTAGTCAGCTTGAATATATTCAGTTTAGCTTTGCTATATTTTGCTATCCATTGACTGTGAAAACAATCAATTTCTAAGGAAAAAAAATATAACTTAAACTGGCCACACCATTTTCACTTGTATATCCAATGGCTTATCCTTAAATACTTTTAGTTCTTATTCTGAAGCATTCTCGTTTAGAAATTTAACACCACTTTGCTCTCTCCTTGCTTGGCATTTGGGATAAAAAAGACGATTGAAATTTCCTCAAGAAAATTTGACCATGAGGTAACTTTTCTTTTCTTTAATCAATTGTTTATCAAGACGCGAAATTCCCTCGCTGTCATAAAGAACAGTGTTTATAAACTATATTTTTTAAACTAAATATCATCAAATGGAATAACCAAGAAACACTGGTCTTTTTCAAGACAAGTTGTTTCCATATAATAGGGAGTAATTGTACTGTTTATTAGTAATTGTACCTGAAATTTACTCGCTTTTTAGTCCAAATTTTGCACTAATAGTAACTTTGGGTACCTGCTTTCAGACACCAAATAGTCCATTCGAGGACACAGCTTATTTCGACAACTATGGCGTGGACCATTTATTTCAATGTTCGTTCGGACTGCTTCTAAGACACGTGCAAGAAATCGTATTCTGTGTCACGACGTTTGATGAAAATAATGAACAAGAAAAACGAACTGAAAATAGTGAACAAATAAACCTGATAAAATCGACGATTAATTCTTCTCAAATGGACGAGTTTTCACAAAACTTTGCGTGGAGACAAAGGCTACTGGAAATCACGAAAGCGCTGGACGTGTATTTGGCGATGGTGGACAAATTGCCAATGGCGGCTCAGTTGCCCAAGGCTATATATTGTGCTGTTTGTCAGTTTTCTATGATCGCTTTAGAGGTAATATTATCGTAATATCGTGGTTTTGGGGTGAAAATTTTTCTTTCCTGGTAAAAATCACATATTACATATTGGCTGTCTGTGTGTGTTTTTTATACACGCACATTATCTCTGACTTCAAAATTTTCATATTAAAATGTTATTTTAGGTTTTGTGTCAAGAGCAATGCAGGTATTGTTGCACGTCAGAACTCGCTACTGTGCTTCGATGTTTTTCCCAGGTAAGCGAATTTCCCTCATCAACTCGATCCCATTCCTGCTTTTTCAAGACCTCTAGTTCAATGCTATAGATCGTAAATTTACAATTGATTCAGGGGTTTTTGCTTATTAGATCCTACACAGTCAACATCTCCATTGCATTATGAATTCTACACAATATTCCTCTTGGGTTTGCAATGCACTTCGCTCAGTTTATTGTCTCGTGAGAAGAGGTAAAGATGATAGATGAATTTATCTTATTTTAAAGAGGCGATGATTGTTAGTCACTCAATATATATATTTATTAATAAAAGATATTCTTCAGTGTAATTTTGCATGGTGTATCACAATATTTGATATATCATAATAAGTAATTTAGCTTGTAGGTACACCACGTAAGTATTTAGTACTGCAAAGCTTTCGGTCCGTTAACCTGGGCCTTCGTCAGTAAAACACCGTTGAACTCCAGTTCAGCTCCGTTCTGTTGAATTCCAGTTGAACTTCATTGTTGCACTGATGAAGGCCCGGGTTAACGGATCGAAATCTTTGCAGTATCAAATACTTACGTGGTACACCTACAAGTTAATTTACTTATATTTTCTAAAGTTTGAAAGAAATTTTCTATTGTCATCTTGTGGCACATCGATCTATACTCTGTTCTAGCAAATATTATACCATTTCAGTGTTTGTCCACCCGGGAGCAACATTACCTGAGGATAAAGCATACGATGATTTAGTTGACTCTGATATCCCATTGAAACAAGCATCCATGTTGGTCAATTATCTCTACACTTTCCTGAATCATAGTCACCATTCTTCGGTTCCCGACACCCTCACGCGATTATTTCGCGATGCGATCACCGGTTTATCCCGCCTCACCATTTTCAACTCGTACGTCCGCATTCCGCCACTCGTATGGAAAATGGGCTGGGCTCATGATCAATGCGACAAAGAATTGCCGCCATTACCAATTGATATTCTGAGAGAGAAAGATGTTTTTTGCAGGATTTCGTTTTAAGAGTTCATTCCATTGGTGAGTATTTAAGATGTTAACCTTGCTGGATTTGTTTTATCAATTCAAAACTCTTGTCCCTAGTACCACTATCTTATAGTTTTTTTCATCGCAGTCCCATAATTACAGCCTGCAAACAACACTGTTTTTCTTTCTTGATGTTTTCAAACTTATCGTTCTTGTACAGGTTGGATTTCACGCCAGCAGTTCGAAGAAACTTGGGCTGCGTTACTTGGCGTTTTAAGTTCACCTCTGTCGCCTGAACAGACGTCAAGGGAGGTAGGTTTAGGGTATCCTCTGTCATATAGTACATTATAGTAGCTATGCACTTGGAATAGCCTGGTACAGATAGTGACTGATGCAATTATTAATCGAATTGTAGATTGAGAAAGCTTAATATCGGGTTCAAAATGTGGGAAATTTTCTTTCGCTTTTTAGGAAGACATTGATTCTGTAAAGTCTGGGTGCTTAGCGTTGCAATGCATCACGGCACTTTTACTGCAAACGACACTCTGTCCGTCGCCTGGCAACCCTTCAATTGGCACAAACCTTCACACGTCAAGGCAGAAGGAGTTGCCCTTTTTGGATAGCAGGTGCGTTTATCATAATAATAATCATCGCAGGAAGACTTTTGAGCTGAGCTGGGTTACAAACTGGACTAATAGAAATTGGACCGAGTTCAGCCGAACCGAACTAAATTGAATTCATTGAACCAGGCTTTTCTAAGCTAGAATAAACTAAACTAAACGAAACGAAATCAACTTTAATGTGTAAATTTACCTTTCATTTTACCAGAGCTGGGAAAAAATTATCCACGGTTCGAAAAATAGTTGAAGATCACTTTATTCAACAATGTCCCCAGAGGTGAGCGAGAAAAAGGTTTCATCATCACTTTTCTATTAGGTTTGACCGGCGTATTTAACCTTTTCATCTCCTTTCTAGTTCAACGTGGCAAACTAACGTTGACGGTGAAAAACTTTATGGTGGAAATATCGAGAGAGTATCTGGTTTGCAGTCGTACTCACTTGGACAGGTAACTCGCCTGCATAAAATGAAATAAAATAAAACAACTTCTGTCTGTTTTTTTCAAATTATCGCGCTTACCTAAGTTCATCAAACAGCGAAATGATCTTTCAGTAAGACATTAGTTTTTGATTTATCATAGACAAATTCCGGTAACATAAAAAGGAATGGAACAAAGACTGCATGGATAGCTGAGTTTCCAGTCCATGCACCATGCATCAGTCAGTCGACTATGCATCCGCTTAGCTACAATGAATTTTCATTCCATTTTCATTCCCTCTAGATTTGCATCAGTTCTCTTCAGAGCCAATGCGTTCCTGTCGATACCGGTGAATTTTCCGAGACAAATGCCACTTCAACGAATTCCACTCAAGAAAAAATCGATGTTCGTTCTTGTGTCCAGTTTCTCATGGAGTTATTTGAGCAATGGGTGTCTCCTTACACACAGCCGAAGACACCTCTGATGTTGCTTACACAATCTGTAAAGTCAGTAAGTCACTTCATGATAAAAAAACTGGAGTGTCAAAGATTACCTGTCTTCATTAATATGCCTTCTTTTGCTTTAGCGATTACGCCCACTAAATCCCTAAGCCTAACGAAATCCTTGCGATCATCTTAATCCGTACTTGTAATCCTAATTCAAATCGTAGTCTTCAATATGTTTTCTTTCTTTTAGTTACTCATTATTTCTGATCTGTTCGTGGATTCCGCGCAGTACGAGTGGATGTTAAGTGAACTCCTTGATCTCTGTCAAAACTATCTCAACGAAGATGAAATTTTGATGCAATATTTACTGCCTGCCTTGTGCAAGGCTTTGGCAGTTTTAAAAATGGTTTGTTCTTTGCCTTTATTTGTTAAGTGGAAGGGAAAGGGGGGGGGGTGAGCAGTGGAAACACTATACCGAGGAGAAACTTTCTCGTTTAACAAGCTTTTCTCCTGTAGGAAGGGGTTATCCCAGAAAAAGTTGTCAAAATAATGGAAACAGCATTCAAAGCTCCACATGTCCCGCTTCAGGCAAGTGATATACAAAATTTATGTCCATTTTATCAGTGTAGATACTTGATGTTAGCTGGTGTCATGCATGATTTCCCAAGATCCCTAAACTCAGTTAACATGCACTGACAGTATGCTGAGTTTAACAAGAGCTAAGTTTGTCAGACAGAATTGCTGTATACGGTTGAACTGAAGGGATGTCGAATGTCAAACGTCCCTGAAAAAGAACTGAAGATAATAAAGGAGACGTTTGAAATTCTTGAATGTTTTATTGAAAGGTTTCTGGCTTGTACGGAGCATTATATCTTTTGGAATCTCACACAACCTCAGTTACCAACTTGGTGATACCACTTGTCACTGACTACGTCCTCAAAGTCTCTGCCCTTGTTACTGAGTAAGTAGAAAGCAGTTTATAGCTTGCTGTGCCTAGGAAGGTGTAAGGGAGTACATTGGCGGATCTAGGGATGTTCAGAATAAATTACTACAGCTTAAAATCGGAATCGCATTGGTAGATTTTAATGTAAAAATATTCTTTTCAAATCTATAACCAATAGCGTTGGCTATAGTAATTTATTAGCTCGGTGATTTATTCTGCACACCCCTAGATCTGCCACTGAGGGATTACACAGTATATAAGTCATTATAAGCCAGGATTTTGCCTTCTCAATAACTCCAGTTAATTGCTATCAGAAAGCCTGCATGCATTCATTTTTTGTGATTCTCCCAAACTTCATTATGCCAACAATATGTACCTTAGCTTTTAGAATATCGTATAAGATAAGCTCCAAAATCTATATCAGGGCAAGTCATCGAAGCCGATACACATTTTTTATAGTTCAAGCGTGTTTGGAGAACATCGTTTGTTGGCAACCCTGTCTATATCATTTTACATGTTGGAACATTACGGCAATGAAATTCCTGATCTTGAATTTAAAGGGAACTTCTTAACGGTAGGGCTGACTAAGGTTCATTTAGGACTATTTTGCAGGGTTGTATATTCACATTTGGCATGCCGGGTTATCTTGGTGTTTTGTGCAATTGTACTGTTCATGACTGATGATATCCTGGAGGGACTCGTCCTTACTACTTTTTTACATTTTTTACCATCTGAGAGTTTCTACAAGTAATTTCGCCCATTTTCTAGACTGTTCTTACAATGGCGTCATCTGGCGATGAAAACATCCCACTCCATCTTTATCATGCAATTATTCGTGGCTTGGAAAGGCTGGTCGTTTCATTTTCGCTATCGAGAGAAGACAGTGATTCCTTGGTTAAGTTCAGTGTTGACAGGTACACTAATATATTGTACTCTTGCGGAAACGACTCTTTCACAAAAGCCATGCTACATTGTCACCCCCTAATCGATTCACGCTGTCCATAGATTGGCGATGAGGAATCCCCAGAAGGCTATTTCGGCCCTTGGTCTGTTGCTGACGTGTATGTACACTGGCAAGGAAGGTGATCGTCCTGGAGGACTGTTCTCAGAGAACGCACCCGTTGATACACCCACAGATGATGTACTACTACTGGCTTTGGAAAGAGTTACTGCGCTTTTTGATAGGTAGGTCATAACATCATATAGACTTTTTTATTCTAAACTGTTGCTGAAATCTGAGACACTCAATCATAAATGAAATGCCTATTTCAGAATTCGCAAAGGTTTTCGTTCAGAGGCGAAGCTAGTTTCAGAAATCTTACCGATAGTTTTAAGCGATTTCTTCTCGCCTACGGACATGATGAATAAAGTTATCGGAGAATTTCTCTCAAGTCAACAACCTTATCCCGAGTTGATGGCATGTGTTTTATATAAGGTTTGTGGTGTTTTACGCAAGGCTTGTGTTGTTTTATATAAGGCTTGTGTTGTTTTATGTATAAAGCTGGTGTTGTTTTATATATAAGGCTTGTGTTGTGTTATATATAAGGCTTGTGTTGTGTTATATATAAGGCTTGTGTTGTTTTATATATAAGGCTGGTGTTGTCTTATATATAAGGCTTGTGTTGTTTTATATATAAGGCTGGTGTTGTCTTATATAGGCTTTGTGTTTTATATATAAGGCTGGTGTTGTCTTATATATAAGGCTGGTGTTGTTTTATGTAAGTCTTGTATTGTTTTATATAATGTTTCTTGGGTTTTATATAAGGTTCGTGTTGTTTCACATAAGATTTGTGTTGTTTAATGTAAGTCTTGTAGTGTTTTATATAATGTTTCTTGGGTTTTATATAAAGTTCGTGTTGTTTTACATAAGATTTGTGTTGTTTTCTAAAAGTTTTGCGTTGTTTTATGTAAGGTTTGTTTTGTTTCTTATTTCTGCATGTGTTTTTGTATATTCAATGCACTTAAATATTTTATTTATTTTAATTCTGTTTCTTTCCTTTGAGGTTTGTGAACACCTAATAAGTAAGGGTCAACAATCGTCCGTGAAAGACTGGATCCTACTTTCACTCAGTAGTTTTACCCAAAGGTACATTCTGTCCGGTGATAATATAACTAATATTTTGTGTTGACTGTTGTCATATATCAATATCACACTTGTTATATCTTTCTTTAGACCCCCACTGGGTATGGCTGTATGGAGTTTTACTTGTGTTTTTATTGCCGCTTCGACGAACAGATGGATCAGAGCGTTGTATCCTTTTTGTGCCTTGAATAATCGTGCACTTTTGATGCTAAACAACTTTCAGGCAATTACTTTTGATAAAATCCATGAGGTCGAAAAACACATCAACTTGCAACGCTATATAAATAAGCTTTGTATTATATATAGTCTTATAGGTACTAAATCTTTCGTAAACCTTGACAATATCGAGATTTCAACATGTTGTTTCACGTATTGGCAAACTGGAAAATATCGATCGTACATACTTTCTTATTACTGCAACAGATTTTTATCATAATCAGGTGAGATTTAAAGAGAGAAGGCTTACAATTTAAATTACAGTTTTCAATCATTTTGTTTGCATTGAATTCCTGAAATAAGTTCGTTCCAACCTTTATGCATTTTGCAATCATCACTGAACATATTGTTTTACCACGATTTCGTTATCTTCCCAGAATTTAACAGAGGACGAAAAGAAGTCATTTTTCTCAACGTTTGAAAAAGTTTCTCAAGCAGGAACACCATATGCTGAACTTACGCAGAACATTGATTGATCAAAGCATCGGATGGAGATTTATCATTTATGATAAAAAAAACATTGCCTCTGCAATGAAAATACAGTACAGGCAAATCAGATTCTTCGTAGAAATCACAGAGTAATTATTAGGTATTGTAAAATTTATTGAAGTAAATAAGAAATAAATTATTTTGTCTGCAAACATGTTCATTCGTCAATGATAAAATACGCAATACGGCATATCGTGGTAAATTTCGTATTAATGAACAATGACGCTGGTAGTGCCTTATGTTCTGTTTTTTGGACAAATTGCCGATTGTCCCATGGCTCCTAGAATTTTAGAATGCAGTCTTAGGGTTATCACGTGGTACTCTTGTGTATACGTCATCAATCAATCACTTCTTAGAAATTGTCAGAGCGTGACATGAAGGTCTACTATTCAAAATGGCCGAAGACGAAGGGGTCATGTTGTGAATTACGGTTTATTCCATTTGTTATTGCTTCATCTCAGCAATGAATTCGCCTCGTGGAGATGTGGTTGTTCTCTTCCTGTGTATTTTCAGCATTTGCGAAACGCAAAGCTACGATTTCAACGCGTGTCCGTCCAGTAGGAACGACTTTCTTGAGGTGGTGTATGGACCATTGGCTGTTAAATGCAATACAAAATACAAGCGGGATTTGGTCATTTCTGTACCAAGAATCACTTTTTCTCATGCAGATCAGGTAAAGGGTTTATTGTGAGGGATCCTCGAGGATATTCTGAATAAAGTTGCTGCAAGAGTCGCTAAAATGTCCTTTGCAAGTATTTGCAACGTATATATATACAAATATTCTTTGTTTCTTATTAAACTGTCTCACATAGTACTCGACAGGTACCTTCGCTCACAGTGCTTTGATTAAAAATGATTAATATCTAAATAGTCATCGTTTATATATCGACTCTTATAAAGTTGCACACATTTGTGCATAGTTAATGCAACGTACGTATGCATGTAACTGAGACTTTCAAAGTACAGTTCTTGTACACTGCAATCAGTTTTTGAGATTCCAGCCGAATATTGCTGGAAACCTCAACTCTCTAAAAGCTAATCTGTGTGGTAAAACTCATATTAATTTTTTATATTATCCAGCAAAAGTTCTATGAAGTAATCATGATCGATCCTGATGCCCCCTCGGCCACAGATCCAAAATGCAGATCCTGGCTTCACTTGATGTTATCCGATGTCAAGGTAGGAGAGATTTTTGAATTAAAGCTGGACAATCAGGACACTAAGGTAGTGTTTTTTTAGGGAAGTGATCTTAAGAATGGTATATCTCCTAATGGAATAACAGGGTTGAATGTTATCACAGGTACAAAACAGTTTTTGGGAAATTCTTTTGGTAGTTACGGCATAATCTATGTGTTTGCTATTCATTTTGCAGCTTGTGCTGTCTTCCTATTACCCTAGGATTTTTTAGCAGCAAACATATGGTAACAATGTTATTTCATTTTGTAGCCTACAACCCCCCAACACCCCCCAAGGGACGTGGGTATCATCGATACATTTTAGCTGCATTTGGCCATGCCCGACCTCTGAACAATAAAAAAAAGATAACAGAACGCTGTGGTTTTGACATTGATGCATTTACCAATGCACATAATTTAAATACAGTCCCTGATGCAAGCAATATGTTTCAAACTATCACAGAGTAACCTTTAACAACAAAACCATATGGTAACAAATCTTGAAACATATTTACATGCTCCTATAGTAATCATAAACAGTTATAATCTCAAGTTTGTTATTCCCAGCCCTTGGTAAAAAAAAGATAATAATGGAAGTGGTTTTACTCTGTGCAAACCACATAAAGTAATGTGTAGACTAATCATTTTGCCTCAAGCAACGTACACGGAGGCAACCTATAAGATATATAGTAATATATTTATTGAGTAATTGTTATATGGAATATAATATTATTTAGAAGATACAATACTGTAGTTGCAGTAATCCTCACTAATGAATTATAACATAATATTGTATTAATATCAATTGTCACACAGAGAAAATACCAGGCACCAATCAATCTAAGAGAGTGTCAGGTGCATCAAGGGTTTCTGCCTTTGTTTTATATGCAGGCCACCGGCAAACAGGACAGTTAAGAGTTTTATACTGGTTTCCAGATTTGAACCATTTTTCTAAGCAATTTTGATGGAATACATGTCGACAAGGTACAGATACCATAATGCAGTCTTTTAAATAACCGTCAAGGCAAATAGCGCATTCCCTTGTCATCAATATTTTTGTTGGCCGATATTTCCATTGGCATAAATTTGGATCGCAGAATAGTTTTGCTCTATTGGATTTTTTACTTGTTGGTGATGGACAGTTGCAATTCTTCCAGACTGGCAGGTCTTTCACGAAATCAGTCGGCACAAGTGGTTGAAGCCACAGGGCAGGCTGCGCCAGGTGTTGTATAACAATATCTTCATATGTTCTTGTAAATAAGCTATCCTCGCTTGTCCTTGTGTTGGCATACATGCTTCTGGTGGATCTAAAGGAGTGGAAGAACCTTTGAAAATAGACCAAATCCTGGTAGAACCAATCAGGTGTGTCCTCCTCATCGTTTCGAAGGAACTTGAACCTTTTTCTCAGCCGATTTGCACAAAACCCATACACGCAAAAACTCAATGCAAACAACAGAGGAGTTTTATAATATCTTAGGACATGATATCTGATCAAAGACAGCAGCTCACTGTCTGTTATAAACCGGCACACTTTTAGGCCAAAATTAAGTAAAGGCTGTGTAGAGTTCAACCGAAACATCCAAACCAAGGGCAACCATGCAACCATCAGGGCTGTGTTTGCAAAAGCAGCAAAAAGAAAGAACTTTATGGATTTTCTCAATATTCCACCAGGTGTCAGAAACAATTCCAGAACACAAACTTGATTGACAAGAATTATGGCCAACAGGAATATGTCATTCACTTCAGGGTGCAAAGTTGTCAAAAACATCTCCATCGCTTTATATCCAATATGTTCCCCTTTTCTGGTCCCGTAGAAAAATGTCCTTTCCGGTGTCACAACTAAGAGCCTAGAAAACTTATCTGTACCAACTTTTTCACGAATTTCATCGACATTTTGTTTTGTGATTTTAAAATAGGCAAAATGTACTCTCCCTGTAAACTTTATAGATAGGGATGACATAAGAGCCGGTGGCTCTTCAAGTCGACCAAATAGGACGATTTTTGTCGTTTTATAACTCCCCGTATCTTTCTCCAAATATTTTGAGTATTCTCTGTATGATTTTAAGCGCTTAACACGCGTGGCCAAAGCAGCATTTAACCATGAAAATGCTCGCTCGACTGAAGGCTTAGAATTGTAAATATTTATGTTAACATTTCCTTTGGCATGCTGGCCAACTGGCGATGACAGCAGCAAGCATTTCGTATCCCAACCGTTTTTAGCGCATAAACGAGGGTTCAAACTACAGTCAAACACTCCTGTTTTGATTCCCAAAAGCCTCACTTTCCTGGACAGTTTTATCCACTGTTTTAACGACAAAAGAGACATTCTATGTTGAGGAATGATTTGAACCAACCACCCGCTTGCTTTTGTGTCCTCGATTTTTTCGAACAAATGCGAAGAGCTTCGGAAATACGTTGTCTCTGCATCGTTCTCGCTTTCTCTGCTGTCTGCAAGTTCCGTGCAGTTGTCTTCCGAGTTAAAACTTCCCGATTCTTTCACGAGTTGAGCCAATTCGCTCTTGTCCACAATCCCGACATAGCTAATGCCACGTTCGTCAAGCAAAGTCTTCAACTTTCTGACGCTCAATGCGAAGGGATTAAACAACGGAGATGCGACACAGCCGAGCTCGAGCCAGCTGGAAGAAAGATCGAGACATTTTGCAAGCAAAAACACCAAAAGAAAATAAACTAAAACAAGAATTGCCTTGCCGATCATGTTTTAATGTTATTGTTTACATCGCGAGAACAATATGGCGGTCACTGGCTGATGAAATGGCGGGTCAGCTTTTCATTGGTCGAAATTTCCTGCCTGTGATTGGGCAAGGGTTTAAAGGGCGCCAGCGCGGTGACCTGCATATATACTGTATGCTTTGCCATGCACCGTGTTCATCAAAGGAATAAATACATATTTGCGCTTGAAAATACTTTAAACAACACAACAGATCGTTTCATTAGGCATTTAATTAAGACCGTAATAAACTTAAGGACCATTTTCAGAACCGAAGTAAACAGTATTTATTGTTCCACAAGTTTTGAAACGCATCTTGTAGACTTCTGTAAATCAACATGATTTTGCGGTCATTAGGTAAAGCGTATTTGCTTTAACTTTCAATCTTACAACCTCATACATCTAAAATAGATAACTTACATCTTATAACTTACAAATCCGATTTAGCGCCGACACAAATCTGAATCATGTTCTGCGTCGACCCTGCGAGAAGTTTAGGGTAAGTTTGGGGTGTGAGGCTGAATAGAGCAGTAAATGATACAGAAGGGTTGAGAGCACTTTAACGATTTTTACGTTTCTAATCAATTATGTCTTCAAACAGCACACATGGCAGCGATATGGTCTTTACGATTAAAAAAATGCATTTTGGAATTAAACCATGGCATGATATATTATTATATATAATTCCGTTACTCCATAGGAGAGATCACGTTTGGTTAAAACGCAGCGACAAATTAGAATTCCTAGCAAGTAGCAATGTTTACGTGGTATAGGGGTTACATTTTAGACGTGACACACACAATGTCAAAACGTGGCAACTAAACTTTGTGCGATTTCTTCACAGTATCAAATTTACTTGGTCACGAGACCTTCGATACCCCTTGGATATTGTTTTGTTTCATTCTCCGTCGCGAAATATCCCCAACTCTTGCGTTTTGGCTTTCTGGCCTGTCCGTTTTCCCTCAACATTGAACAGATGTTATTTGCAAAATATTTAATGGCAGGTTCTGTCCGTCTAATCGTCCATCACACCCTACACGTGTTGACGTCCAGTAAACACTTGAACAATCACTTGAACAACACTAGTCCTCGTGCGGTCGATGACGTAAACGTTTGCGGCTGTCGCTCAGCTCTGGCCAATTGCTCTGGTCTGGTTCTCATCAATCAGACAAACTCATGAAAAACAAAGTTGAGGATTTAACTTGGTGTGAGTTCATCATACATACGTCATTCGTCTGTAGGTATTCCCGGGTCCTGTTTATTAATTGCTGAAAAAGTCACCATTAAACCTGTTCGCCAATGCTCACGACATTCTTAGTAGCAGGAGATGATATTTATTGGCACAAAAAAATCATGCATCATCATTTTTATGCTCATTGAAGACTTTAGGGTCTGTACTGTATATACCAGCTAGGTACAGACCGCCCCACATATATAGTTTCCCCAAGAAAAGCCTTCCCTGATGGTCTGTTCAAATAGTTTAGATCAACGAACGACATATTGCTCCTCTAGCTAGTCACCTTATCGTTAATCCTCGTCCCATTAAAAGCAATTTCCAAGAATGGGCGCTTGGAATGCGGAGTAGCCGATTGTATGATATGATGGATGGTTTAATAATTATATTTGTTCACAGCGTAACTTCCCGTAACACTCGAACGGCGTAAACATTACAGGAATTTTAATTAAAATGAAAAACAGTTCGAGGGCTGCCGCTGCTATCAAATCAGCATTCCATGTGACTAGATTGAGGGCGCCATAACGACGCCAAAGCGGGGGGTAGTTTTCATGGAAAGTCACTTCACTTAATGACACATTACAAGAATTTTTTGAAAACATTAGGAAGCCTGGTTATGCTGTTATGCAACATGAAACATGCTCTTTCATGCAGCTGTAGATCTTAGTCTGTCTAACATTTTCAGTTTTAAGCTAATTTATGAACGAATTGAAATAAGATTGGTAATTCTTTTGATCAATGAAAGGCCTCTTGTTCCCTTTAATTTAGGCTATCAATGCTGCTGGTATAGAGATAAGGTATAGAAAAAAAAATTCCCCCACTTACCTTACAAAATGTTTTTTATTTTCATGGATTTTCAATAAAATTCTTTCTCGGATTTCAATTTTGAACTTCGTGTTTTTGTAAGATTCCAGGTAATGTGCTGTCCATTATCTTATTTACATGTTCACAAGTTCTATATCATTGTAAGTAACTATGCATGCTGTTAACCTAATAATCCTATTTTATCTTCATTTCATGTTCTGTACAAACATAGATAACTTATTAAGTAGTTACCTAATTAATTTTAACATTTTATGTATCTCAGTAAACCAGTTTACGGCCCTGATTTAATCTTATCAGCTTCACGTTCATGTTTTGTATTGAATGAACATATGTTTTACTAGAAAATACTGCAATGCCTAATCTTTAAGTGCCTCGTTTATTCACGAAATAACCAGGTACCGTTTGTTTTATACCGGTTTGGGATCGCTCTCTAAACCTCTCGGGTATTTTTGGTTGTTTACAAGTGACTGGTAAACTGCCAGGCTGGAACAAGAGAAACTGCTGAGAGCAAAGCTCTGAAATAAGCTTGCAATGCTTTATTCAATTGCATGGTGAGGATGCTTTGTTTGCGTCAAACAATGAGATAACTTTGTGGCATTAATTATAAACCGCCATTATAAATGAGCTTATGGAACTTTTTTAAACTGGTTGAAAGAAGGCTTTGCGCAAAACATTATAATTAAATTTGCGTCCATTTTCCGCTTTTGGTTAGCTGATTGCGTAGTTTAAGAAAGAAGTGCGTGTGTATGTTTTTTTACTTTTTTATGATGTTATCTATGGTTCAGAAGTCAGAACAATGGAAAACATTGGAAATGGGTTCATTCCATTCTTAGTGCATGCACCGTTAGTTTAACCATAGCCTAAAATGCGAAAACACTTTGACACACTGGTTTTCTGTAACAACATGAAGCGGAAATTGTTTGAGAAAAAAAAACAGAAGAGAGAAACACAAACGTCCTGGGAACGAGGGCGAATTTTCGGCGGGAAAATTTTCAAAATGGCTACCTTGCCCGGAAAAATTTTAAAAATGTTTGATTTATAATTCAAACTTCGTCTGGAACCAAATAGTTTATCCAGAATAGTTATGTAAATTCAACGAAGAATTTATCAGAGAGAAAAGTGAAAGATAGATTCGAAACCTACACACATAAGGTAGGGTATTTTTTTCATTTTCTTTTTAGACATTTTATTGTAAAGTAAACAAATCAAATTAATATAACATTTGAGCAAAACCCCCCTGTCGAGGACCTGGAAAGGGAACGGTTAAGCTTATTTTCCGGATGGGATGAAAATCCCGAAAAGATGAGATCGTCGACAGGGGGAGTCGTCTTTTATAGAATTTAAAACTCAAATACAATGGTTTCGAATTTCTTAGCATGATTGAATCGGCGATATATAATGGAGTATTAACACCCCTTTTAGATCTTATTGCAATGTGTAAGTGAATAAATTTGGTTTGATGATAAAGCGTTGTCTTAAAAAAAACACAGAGCATTTAATGTTTGTATTTACCATATTACTTGCAAAAAGAAAATTGCGCAATTAATGCAGATATACGGCTTTAATGGAGCGTTAGATATGTGATTGTTGTTTGTTACAGTACTATAAATAATAGCACAATGACACAATCAGTGGTAGTTTGTACTTAATTTGGTATAGGTAATACCTCACAATTGATTAGAATAAATAGCACTGAATCAATGGCATTTTGTGCTTAATTTAGTGTAAGTAATCACTCACAATTGATTAGAATATTTTATAACCTATCAAAAGTGTCTAATGCTGGGTCAAATCCTAGCCGTAGTCAACAACAATGCATTAAAATGATGACATATTAGTGGTAAAATAACTACTTGAAGTGCAAACAATGAGCCTAGTAGAATATCCAAGGATCAGCATTCAGTTAGGTATAGAGAAAGTTTGAATTCAAAGTTGGACATTTTCAGTTTAACTTAGAAACAAATGTGTGTGCTCTGCCTTACATCCCATGATGATTTTGATCAGGGTTCAAGCAGAACTCCAGACAGAGGAATTCCAAACAGATAATAGGTTTTGTAAGAGGTCATGGCATTACTATTAATAAGATCTTGTGGTCTAAAAGAAGGAAGAATTACCTCTACTGTTCCTAATATAACTTAAAATCAGGAAAGCAAAAATATTGCATTCTTTCCAGCTTTTTGGCTTAAATTGATCTTACTATTCTCACTTCTATTTCCTTATGGATTTAAATCTTTATGATGACAGTGCCAAGTGGTTCAGCTGTAAACAGTCAAATACAAAAAAGGAAAGGTTTTGTTGCTTTGATTGAAATATTTTATGAGCAAGATTATTCTGATATCAAAAATGATCTGGTAAAAAGTAATATCCGTGAAATGAGTGGCCATAGATATTAGGACATTGTGAGCTGTCCTGTTGCACTGTGTTCTTAAGGCAACCACTTCTAATCTCCTGTGATCTGTTCTAAAATTCCAGGAAACTATCACGTCCGTATTTTTATATGAAATATGTTCTCTGAGCAATAAACAGTGGTAGAAAATAGAGGTTAATTCCTCACTCAACTCTTCTATACATCCGCTTTTACTCTAAGCTAGCTAAGATTTACTATTGCTGATAAGAGATCCCAGACTGTTATCACAAAACCTGAAACCTGGTTGTCAAGTTGACAAACCACTAAACTCCCCGCAAATATAATCTCCTAAAAACATCTTCAGCACTCGATATAGGTAGCCCAGAAATGGAAGCATCTAGAAGAATTCAGTGCATTTCAAACATGAAAAGCGCATCTTAAAACCTGGACTATAGACTCAAAGACTAGACTCTGGGCCACACTTCACCAAGAATAGCTCATGAATGGATTTTTTTGCCTTGAAATAGAAAAATGCGCAAGGTGGTTGGCATGTAACAGCGAACGGAACTAGGCTAAGTCGAAAAGTTCTATTTTCATCGAATGTGATACATTAACTGCCTAAAATAGTCCTCGAATAAAAATTCATCGACTTTCGGGGCTTTGGTCAAAACGCCGATGCGTCCCCCTCCTACTATTTTCGGCATTTGCTGTACTGCATTTGATTACAGGATTTTCGAAGTCGCTGACACGCTGCTCCTTCGCTATTTTGAATCAAATTTCAGTTCTGTTTTTCAGTCTCATGTGATAAAACCTGATGGAACTGACTGACAAACATAACCGAAAGCCGGAACATTTCCAAGTGTGCTGCCTGTACATGCTCGATCGCGTCCTCAGAGTTTCATATTTTTTGGCACCATTGCATGGAAATAAACCACTCGTCGTCTTTGCGCATTCCAGCCAGCATGAAAGATCGGTGGTGGTTTGAACTTAGTATAGCTTAAAACTATCGACTTCGATTAAAGTATTCTGATTCCGATCTATAAGCTTTAGTGACAAGTCTGTATCTGTCCTGTAATCAGAAGAGAGCTCTGAAGCAACAGCATGCAACAACTCCGCACATATCACATATATAGCTACAGACTATTTCAGTAGTTGAGCTCAAAAACAAAGCCAATCAAGCACAACTGTTCCACTATGAATGTGTCATAACATAGATCTAAATATAATATAATAAAGTGTTATTTCCTAATGGCAAATTGATTCATAGTTAAGCCGGCTTCATTATTGACTGTCTCAACAGGTTTTTGGAACTGAGTGGGCTAACTCCGCTCCATTACTTCCAATTATCAGTTTCGCATGAAAACAGCTTAGCGCCACGTTGTAGATAGATAGCCAAATATATGCAAACAAGCCAAGAAAATTTGTGGATACTCACACTGACAAATTACTTCCAAAAAAACTACCCACAGACTTTGGCCTTTACCTTCGCTTAAACTACCCTTTATCCCTGTATGGCAAAACAACGTTTGAATGTTATGATTGCTTATCGCGTGCAGCTCCGCAGTTGGTATTATGCGTGTATAAAGAGGTTTCAACTTTTTTACAAGAAGCACTTCTTCTCTCCTCAGGTCCTTGTTTTCTACCGGCCCTGTTTAGTTCGGCAACTCTTTCATCTTCGCATCCCTCACACCCAGTCTATATGATTATCGGAACTGAAGTAATATATGAATGGTAAACTCGAGAGGCAAGAGAGGGATTGTCCAGCAGCAACGGTACTGTGTGTATAAGTTGCTTTCGAGACCCTCAGTTTTGCTCTCGAGACCACATTTTCTAAATCTGTAGTGAACAAAAGGCCTTTCCTATCACCACCGGCCAAAACGGTCATACCGTTATCCTATTTCGAAATCAGTGAGATCAGAATACTTCGTTCAGCCTCAGAAAAGCAGTGGATTAATATGGACATAGTACATTCAGTATAAAGACACACGTGTATTCAGTAAATGCTGTTTTTGACAGTAAATCGTCTTCAGTAAGCTTAGTGTGTTTAAATACAGCACCAATAGCTTGGTCTAACGGTTTCTGCTGTGCAAACAAACGCACCGTAATTCGAGAAAATCTAAAAATATTCTTCAGTCTTGATACAAAAGTCACCCTTGTATATCGGTATGTCTAGATCACAGTTGTATAACATTTTGTTTTTGTACTTCCAACCCACGTTGAGTGGGACGAACAGTGAGTGTGTTAAGTGTTTTGGGAACGGTTGAGAAGGCGTTAACTTAATTAAATATACCGTTACACAACACGATATTTCGATATCCTAATATACTCATCTCCATGAAAGAATAAAGAAATTACTGTTTGCGCTGATGCACCATTTATGCATACCTTTAAAATTGGCAGTGATTTACCCATGTCTACACTGTTAATTTTGAAGTGTTAAAATAGCACCACCGTAGGTGCCAAATCAACACCATGCGGTGGTGTTAAATAGAAAGTGCTATTTTGGCACCAACTTCGGTGCTAATTTAACACCACCAAATCTGGGATTACGCTAAAAGTGTCAATATGACACCATATTACCAGCACCATTGTTAGGTGCCAAAATGACACCTCTTTTGCCGACGGAAAGTGTTAAAATAACGCCATATAGGGAGTTAAATATGGGGTGTCAAAATAACACCAAATGGCAGATAGGCCGGGAAAGAGCATGTTTTTTTTTTAAGTTATTGGAAAATAAATTTGTATTTTTGAATGAGATGATTTTGGAACAAAGAATTCCCGTGCGTTTTCGCACAACTATTTATCTAAAAGACGACATGGAAATTCGGCTTGTTGCTATGAATACGTCAGATACGTTTCTATATAAAAAAAACCCCGAGATACATCGATAGTGATCCATTGTCCTTTTTATTTTATCAAACTATGTTATTTTGTGCTATGTTTTGATTGCTACAAAGTAAATATTTCGCAATCGCGTATAGGCATACGATGTATGTCCATATAAGGAACGAAATATGACACGTGTAGGCGCTTGCATGCAAATTTTTTGAGCGCGTCGTTTGAAAACTCATCTGAATCGTATATTCATCGAGATGTTTATGCTGCTGTGTTAAAGACGTTTTGAGCGTATTTACTCAACTATTTTTGTACTTCTAAATATCCTGAACAACAACGGACTCCAATAAGGAAATTTCAAGGCAATTGGTTGTGGTATTATCTCAGAAACATCTTGGTAAGTGTTTGAATTTGATCAAATACAGACATATACAGTATCCATGTTCGCTCAAAGTCAAACGGCCAAATCGCCAAACAAACAAATGTGTGCTATTTTTCTATTCTAGAGAAGCCAAATGACGTATTCTACTTTACTGCGATCACTTCAGGAAGCTGTGGTCAAAGAAAATATCATTGCAATAATAGGTATCTATTCATATTTACTTTACCGTAATTTTATGCGTCTTCGCTTGTCTCTTATATCATTGACATAATTTAGCGATATTTTATCCTATATCAACGATTGTCCGTGCTCTATTTTCATATATTAACGATAATCCTTGCTCTATTTTGATAAATTTGATGTTAGAGGGCAAGTTATTTGTTTAAAATCAATGCCTGTGTATGTCTTTTGATAATATTATTACTGTAAGAGATATAATCTCCTACAGGTTACCTGAGAGTCCCATTTAGCCTGTCCTTTTTAAATTCACATTTATATTTTAGTCAAATAACAAAGTATGTTTCCATAATTTAGTAAAATCATTTTCTTTTGCAAGTAAGGTTTGCAACTGAACACATTCTATTATTTTGTTGCAGGTAAAGTGGAAGTGAAATGTGCAAGAACAAATTGGTCCATGGTATGGCTGGCAAATTTCAATCAGGAATGCCAAAAATTGTGCCAAGAAGTATGTATTGGTTCTTTCGAACAGGATAGAAACAAGAAACAAGATTAGCTGCACAGAGAATCAGGTAAATCATGCAATTAATATACTATAATTTTCCCAAGGACAAAATTACAATGTCACCTGTAGTTTATTGCCCCACAATCTGCAATTTAGACTGTCTTTATCCAATGCTTAGTGTACCTATTATAGTTTTGGTAACCTAACTAGATTTTCTGCTATTGATATTTGATAAACAATTTGTTTTTCAAAACAGACATTCAGAGCACAGCTTGTGGTTGCTTTAGGTCTAACTGAAGGAGAATCTCTCCTCTTTATGCTAAGAAACCTTGTGGGCTGATTTGACTTGCTAATAAAACTAATGATTATTGATAAATTTATCTTAGGGTTGATGACTCCATATACAGATGAGGACATACAAATAATAAAAAATGGCCATGGAAGAACATGCTGGGAAGTGAGTTTTTGTGGATAAATTTATACGAACTTGACATTACTTGTTGAAAATTGTAATGTTGCATTATAAGAACTTGACATTGATTGTCGAAAATTGTAAATAATTGTCTGGTTGTTTTTTGTAAATAGTCCTACAGGAGCAATTGTAAATATGCAACTGTGACCAAATATATTGATTTTTTGTTTCCTTGTATAAGTGTCATTAATTTTGATTTAGATATGATTACTGATGTTAGAACTGCACATTAAATTGCAGTAGGTAAAAAGGTGCTGCTTTAACACCAAATGTAGTGCTATTTAAACACCAGAAAGGTGTTATTCTGACACCAGAATGGGCGTTAATTTAGCACCAGGGATTGGAGTTAATTTAGCACCCAGGTCATGGTGTTAAAATAGCACCTCGACAGGTGTTATTTTTGCCATATTCATTCAACACCTTTTTTGGTGCTAAATTAACACCTTCAAATTAACAGTGTACCACTTTATACGTGTAAATTCCAGTGGTCTTATACTATCGTCTTTGCCAGGCTTGGTGAGATAAAGGGAATGGCTGAATAAGCTGCATGTCTAGGGTGGGTTGTATCAAACCCGTGTCAGATTAAATGGTGGTTAAGTTCAAAATAGAAAGCAAGTCTATCGTTTTATTCAACAAGCAAACTAAATGTTTTTAACCTTAATACAAAGTACTGTTTACAACTACATATTCAGTGCCGATAATATTCAAGTTGACTCATTTAAGAGAGATGTAAGCGTTTTATTTAAATTTCACTTATCCACCGTTTAAGCTAAACGGGCTTGATACAACCGGCCCCTGGTATAAAATGAAAAAAATTAAAACTGATCATGAAGTTGTCGTGAACTGAAAAAATCATACCCTCAGTTTATGCTCGTATGTGTATAAACCTTAAAAAACTTTCCCTTATAATATAGAAATGGCTTCGAGTATATACGTGCCCTCTTTGTGTATTCATGAACCACGGTGTAATTGAGGTTACAGAAACATCCCACATATATACACGGTTGTAATGTCGTTCAATCTGTGACGCTGTGTGTCGTACTTCTCACGTTAATATTTTATTAACTGTGTATGCATACAGTGCCTTAGTAATCAGATGGGCATATTATTGCAAAAGTTTACACAGATTTTTTGGATAAAAGGTGCTTCACATTGTCACTCAGTTTGAAGACATTCCTCCGCTTAAAAAATTCGATAATAACTCTATGGCGTTTTGACAGAAGCTCATGCACAAAATTGCGGAAACTTCCGCCCAGTTTTACTTGGCGTAAACACGATTGTATATTGTGTGTACATATATGGGAATGCGTATGTACTGTAGTGTGTGAATTCTGAAACGAAACCGTCTCTGATATTAGCATGGCTGTTGTACTGTATTCTTTTGAAAAGTACTTGTAAAATTGGTCTACATGCATGCGACCTCTGTCCTGTTTGTATGGTGTTAAGTGAAATCTTTGTATTAACGTCAGCACGTTTCTTTGCCTCTCTGTATAAATATTGACTTAGTGATTCTTGGTATTCGAGGAATTGGATTGTGGTGAAAATGACTGCGCAAGCGGTTCGCTGAGTTCGATTCAAGCTGCGACAGATCTTGCATTTCTGAAATAACACAGCCGCATTAGCAATTAAACCTGAAGTGAAGAAAAGGAATGAGCGGTGGGGGGCTTCCAGTATCAAACTGCGAAGGAAAAATACAAAAATTCCAGAGAAACTATATACCCGAAGATGATAAAATCTATTGCGAGTTCCTCAAGTATTAATTAATGCGCGCCTCACAGCCTTCACTGTCTCGCTTTGGACAAATTGTTTTTTATTTTCTCAGTTTAATTAAAAATAGTGCCGACAGAACTCCATCAACAAGCTTAAGGGGGATCATTAATATTTAAACAGATGAGATTTTCGTTTTAAATTTTCTTCAACGGTCAACACTGCCCGTTCTCGCAGTCGAAAATTCTAGAGAAAGCGAATTATAGTTTCTTGTAAGAATCCTGGGTCTTCCAGAAGGCAACATATCGCCCGAGAACTCCTGTTTTGTGGACAAATATCAAATTTTCAAATTTACATAAACATCTGTTTACCCGTTTAATAACATCCAAAAAAGGCATACAGATATGTATCTTCATGCTCATCAAGATTGAGATTTCGCCTTCTTATCGCGCGGGAATCCGGTGATGTAGTGTATAGGTTATTATGAAACGCACGGTGGAAAAACAATTTCTCTTCTTTTCAAATTGACAGCGACGAACTCAAGGGATATTGAATTGACCGCAGAGTCAGGAAGGCGCCAATATAAGTACATGCAAATATTTTCCTAAGTGCCAAAAACCTTATGCAAGAATGCGCTTACGCACGCAAGAACAAGACGCTTTAAAATTGGCGAACACTCCGCTTCGAAAAAAAAACAACAAACGCGCTCTTGTATAGAGTCAAAGAAAAGAAACAAAATTTGGGCAAAATGCTGTATTTTTTCACTCAAAGTTACATATATTCAAGGAGCCAGCCACGGATATATTACAATACATATTTAATGCTTCGCAAACCGGCGCGAGACATTGTTAGAGTACATTGGTTATTAGAAAACAAAAACGAAATAAAGCGCCGTTCTACAGGTTCTTTTACACATTCAACCGCTGTGGGAAATTCGCTTTCGACCCAGCTTTAAAAATCACTCGATATTTGATGTTTACACTCAACGAAAATCCGTCGATGCAAAATTTCCACACGCGCTCTATACAACACCACCAATATTGCGGTGAAAATTTCACACTGACAAGCTTCTTCTTCGCCCTTCGGGGAAGATGACACGTCAGCTCTCACACACAGCTGCTCAATGCGTTCGCGATTTTATTTCGAGAATCAGTAAAAAAATTAATTTGGTTATTTTTTTTTCTTTATGGAAACAAAAAATACTAGAGGCAAGTCGGCCTCGACATTTTTGAAATCAAAATATACTATAAATTACGAAGCGAGAGCGTGGCACGGCCAATATACTCCGCTTCTGTAAACGTCTCGTTTAAATCCCGATTCCACAGGATCAACTCAACTATACGCTGTTGCACACTTTATCGATTATCGCGATCTTCTTCTCAACGACAAATATATACAATGTTTAGGACCAGCCTAAAACGTTCATCTCTCAAATACTATTTAAATAATATACAAACGTGTTTCTCTACGTGCTAAATTGTTCGTTATATAAGGTTCTTTGTGGTATATATTGAAAAGCGCCAGCGCTTTTGTGGTGCTATTACTAAGTTGTTTTAAGGATTCACAGTGTCTAGGCGGACAGGGGTCTTGGCATTGGTGAAAGGGAAGGAACTTGGAATTGTGGCGAGGGAACTGTAGCAAGGTTAGGATGGCTTTGGGCAGCCAACGCCTTCTTCGCTTCTTCCTCTTTCTTTGCCTGTTCGCGAAGATGGATCTTCATGTGGCGTCTTCTCTCGTCAGAACGCGCGAAGCGTCGGCCGCATGTATCACACGCGAAGGGTTTCTCGCCTGTGTGGGTTCTGATGTGCGTTGTAAGATGGTCGGAACGCGAGAAGTTCCTCATACATATGCGACACTGGAAAGGTTTCTGTCCTGTGTGGGTTCGCATATGGCGTGTCAGCTCGTCGGAACGAGAGAACCTTCGAGAACAGGTCTCAACTGGGCAGCCATAAGGTCGTTCACTCGGCGGCGTTTTCGCTCGCTTCGTGAGCTGGTCGCCGCGTTTAACCTTCAAGATGCCGCTGCCAGCCTTGACGGGTCTGTGGATGCCGTTGTTGTTGTTGTTGGTGGTGGGAACGGGTTTGGGGACCTTGAGCATGTTGTTGTTCAAGAAATCGTTTGTTGTGGTGTTCAACAGCTTGTCGAGGCTCGCGTCTAGTTTAAGGTTAGGGTCGCTGATCAATGGCCACTTCATGTTAACAGTTGCTGTTGCCTGAAGGTACGGGAGGGATGAAAGCGACGGCGCTTTCGTGTAAGGGAAGGCCGAGGCGGCTTGGGTTACCTTCTGATAGGTTTCAAAGAACTGCTGTTGTTGTTGCAGCTTCTGTAGCATGGCAGCGGGCTGCGGTTGAACGTTTTGTAGACTACAGGATACTGGTGGCTGCGACATTGAAGCTGGCGTTGAACAACTGCTCAATGGTGTAGCGGTGCTTATAGGGTTCGCGTTGCTGACGAGAGAAGTTAAAATGGTTCGGTCCGGGTTCCATAGGCTGTGCGGTGGGGAATTGTAGGGTGATGTTTGCGATGTTGGCGGTGGGGTGGTCGTCGATGGAAACACGTCAATGAGAGATGGCGTTTTAAACTGGTCTAAACGTTGCGCACTCTTAAGTTGGTTGATATCGGGCTTTATGTCTTGTTGTTGTTTAATGTCGGGGACGGGTGTGAAGTCATAATCTCCTGTTGAAGAAAAGGAAAAGAAAACACGTTTAGCTAAACACGACAGTTAAAACGACGGTAATATGATCTCAGAAACTAAGACATTCCATTTATCGAACATCCGCCGTAACGCGATAGTCCTTTGCGAAAGAATAACTTTTCATATCAGAACAGAAAATGTACTTTTAGTCATGTCGAATAAAAGCGAATACAAATATCGAGTTAGTTTTACGCACGTAGCGTATGTGATCGCGGTGAAAAAGCAAATATATCGAGACGAAGTATCGAAGAGCGCTGTTGCGTCATATAAATTGATTGAGAACTACGCCCAGTATGATGAAAAATCATCAACAGCACAGTGCGAAAAAATAAACGAAGCATAAACGGCGTTGCTTTAGTACGAAGCTATAGTCTATATCAGTTGTAATGTGTGAAAGAAGTCACACACGCACACAAGCAAAAAATAACATGATGTGGGCGAGTCACATTAAGGAAACGAACTCCTTAATGTGATACGTCTTTAATAGTGACGAGCCAAACGACAAAAATATTAAGCTACCTGGCACGGTCTGCTCGCCGAACGAGTCGAAAGTGAAGTCTTCGAGGCAGGCCTGGTTCGCCTGATGATTCAGCTGAGATGTCAGAAATCCAGTCGGATCCGTCCATCCTAGCAGTTGGTCGGTGGCAACCTTCGCGAGGCTGCCTAAACTTCCCAACGCGTCCGTGTTTGTTGCTGTCAACATGTTGCTGTAATCGTAGCAATTTGTGTAGGTCATCGTTGTAGAAACAAAAAAGGTTTTGACTAAAACTTGGACTGATCAACAGTAAGTTATTGTCCAGCAATAACTTTTAAAAATATTTTTTGATGGTTCGGACTAGCCGAAGTTCACACTTGTGCTTTCTTGGTCTGGTTTGCTTCGTTCCGGCTGTGCGCTCAATTTTTATCGTTTACCCACGACGCATATTTAATTGCATGTGGCCGCGACGGCCAATCAGCGTCGCGCATTCGCGTGACGTCAGATGTCAATTGACGTACATGCAAATGTACCATTATCTACATTTGGTTTCGGATTAACATACCGAATTGTAATTATGGATGGCAGCTATCTATCAATAGCGCTTGTGAATTTTACGTTGCGATCAGACACAAGCGAAGGCCGACGACATCGACATGGCATGCATTTGAAGCGGTTTGGTGCTTTTTGAACGCCGATGGGAATCAGCGGGGACTCTTCAAACGGGATGCTAGCTATTAAACAATATTAAGAACACATGATGAGCCGTGACAGTTTCGAGATATTGAGACAGGGTGTTGCTTTGTTTGGTTGCCTGGAGACGACAACAAAACTGGCGAATGCCTGACGTCATGCGAAGCGGAACTTCGCGTTACCTTCGCTGACCCGAAAATTCGTCTCAAATATCACCATCTCGGGAGTACCGGCCTTCCAGTTCAGCCGGATATGAAGTTCTTCTTCATGGCGGAATCGGCATAACGGCCATTGCAAACGCTTGCTATTATGCATGCGTTTTTCGATCATCAATAATGCATGGCATACTTGCCACCTGCCCCTCGGCAAAGCCAACCGTATTAAATCGCATCAAGGAGACGTAATTTGTCAATATCTTGCGGCCAAATTTAGCTCGGTCCGGCTAAAAATAGGAGCAGCTGCTTCGCAACGGCCGTGCCGAAAACGAGTTCGCTATTAGAGAACAAACAAGTGTGCGATAACGCTACGTGTTTCGTCAAAAATGAGATGCTATTTTGGAGAACTCCGTCCGAAGATGCTGATTTCAATTCGGACACGAAGTTTCGGAGACGGTAGACGGCGAGGTAATGCGATGTGTCACGACAGCTTGTGTGTGCAAGATTATAACATTAGGCGCGAGTAAGCGGATTTTGTAGCCATATGTGTAGGTAAGCTCGCTGCCATAATATAACGGCTATATCTCTCTTGTTAATGCCTAATGCACATGGATTTGCATTCCCCGTTATGGAAAATATATTGGAATAGACTCGACCGACGTTCGAGAGTTTATTTGGGAAAAGACGTGGGAGGAGCTATGAAAACAGCTGGGTGCTGCACAGTCAAAAGTACAGTACAGAAACAGTACGTGTAGGAGGGAGAATATATAATTGAATTCTATATTTATGTTAGGAAACCACTCGAGCGACAGCCAGTTTAAAGATCGAGTCGAAATTGAGTACCGTTATATACTAGTATACTGGTGTTATATTATGAAATTCGTTTTATTATAACCCAAATGTAGTAATGCATCATATCAATGCCTATATGTGGCCCTATGTCAACAATTAACTTGCCTTGCATACGAGACGATAAAAAGGCACTTGAGTAACTTTCAAAGTAAGCGCGTGAAAAAAATAAATGGACTATATTTATCAACCAAGCTGTCTGCCGAGTGCCACTTGATCAACTGTTGTAGCTACATATATGCGAATACTATATTTATATATATATATAAAAATTTTGTGTTTTTTTAGAATATTCATATTCATTTTGTTTCACCGTTTGTATACTATAAAATTAGTTTATATATAGTCATGTCCAAGTGGGCTAGATATATATAGACAATCAAGTGTTCGAAACGAGCTGTAATGATGGTTTTCATAGAATTTAACATTTGCGGCAGGTATCGTATCAGTTCCTGATAGCCAGTGAATGGAATTACTGACGACACATACCCACGCACGCACGGCGCTACTATACCACAAATTATCGAGGGAATATGCTGTATTTCCCTGATGAATTCGTAATGGATGCATGTCTACTGTACGATTCCAAAAATCTTCAAGGCGATAACGAGAAAAGCTCGGTGTTTTATACCATGTTTCCGGTACGAAATCGTACGTGCTTGTAGCAGATCAAAAACTAACAGAAATTATTTCAAGAGTCACCCAAACAGTACCTATCCTCCCTTTTTCAAAACCTCGGTGGAAGGAGACGACATCCTAGGTCACAATTAAAGGTACACCGTACATACACGACTGATTTCACCGAATTGTTTAAAAGGATATCTGCCTGTGACTGTGGATCAAATCATGTTATGGACATTCAATTATTCATATAGTAAAGTGTACAAACTTTAGTTTATCTGTTTATGATCTAATATTGGTTTTGAAAAGAGGTGAACGAAACGACCTGTTTATGAATAGTTATTTGAAACAATTTTTCACCGGTTTCAGCGCCAAATAAAGTTGCCACCGAGAAAACCAAGTTGGTCATTTTTTAAACGGCAAAGAATTTTCACAGGACAATGTGAAATGCAATGTGGCAATGCAGACATACGTCTGCACTGTTTGGAGACATTTGATAATGTTGATAACGTTGATCAGATGTGTGGCGATGTAAGATCGTGAAAAAAATCGTACTGAAAAACGTGATTGCTTTCCGTGCGTTTTCACAACTCTCGATGTTCGTGACCTCTTCTCACACAAATATTTGTCCCGGTTGCAATTTTCGCTATTTTTGAGTTTTTTTTACATGTCTTTTACTTTAACTCTGAAAGACATTTCATTTCTTAACTCTGACACAAAGCATCAATTATTGAACTATGTATATATATGTGTATATATATATATATATAATTGATAATCTCGTCATTTGGCTACCATACATGCCTGAATAATATAGCATGGTATTTATCTAAAACAGCTTTAGAAAAGAGCTTTGTATCTCCACGACTACAATAGCTACCGTTGAGGTCATTGCCGGATTCGTGCATGCACGCTATAAAAAGCTTATATCATGCACCTCATAAAGAATGTATTTGTGAGCAACTTAAAATAGACTGAATTGGAGTATAAAAGTGCAGGTCTTTGACTTTTGGCGTCCTAATCACAGGATTTACAGGACTCTTTTAGATCTCGTGTTAATAGAATTAGGCATGATGAGCGGGCATGGTTGCATGGAAAAGATTTGATTGACAGTGAAATCTCATTAAAGTCATCGACTCCGCAGGTTCAAATATTCATATGAGTGTTTAAGCTTTTTTCCTCGTAATCTTGTTGAAATTTTTCACGTAGCGGCGTTTCTCAAATTCACGTATATACATTTCTATCCTCAGATGAGTACATACGACATCCTAAAAGCATATTTTCGGTCGATCATCTTTAGAATACGAGTTTGCATGCAGAAACCTAACGATGGGTTGATATGGGAAAGTTATTGTGGCCCCATAAACGCACGTTCTTCTGTATTCGCTAAAACCTTACTCACGTTTACTACCATACGAGGGTTCCGTCACTATTTATAAACTCACGTTTACGAGGGTGTCGAGTGACATAGAAATGAATGCATTCTTTTTGATCAATGAAAGAACTATTCCTACATCAAAGATTCGAGGTAAGATTGCCAAAACTAAGCTCTCGAGCCTGCCGTAGAAATACTGTCTAGCGGTATATTTATTATACATGTGGCGATTGAGACCCAACACTCCATGTATACGTTTATACTGTTTAATTACTTTAATATACCAGCCATTTAGGTCTGTTTACATGGAGCGAGTTATCCCAACTAGCCGAGGTGAAAACTGCATATAATGAAAGACTAATCAGGTTAAGCCTTTGATGTGATGGGCTTTTTACCTCGCCTGGCCGGGATAACTCGCTCCATGTAAACAGGACCTTAGACTGCACGATAAGTTGTGTGCAATTATCATTCTGACGAATGCAAAAGAGTGCCTATATACCACAATCTTCATTCATATTGTTCACGGTGGAATTTAAAGTGTCGTGATTCTGGGTTATACGTTCACATGCCAGGGTAAGAATCGACTGAATCATATACGACAAATCGCATAATATAAATAGGCTTTTACGATACAAGACATTGGTCTTAATCCGTACGTCCTATAAATTTGGAATAGACTCTGGTCCTAACAGCCACCCTGACTAGCTCTTGAAGGGATGGGCATGAGATCAGTAAGGATTTACTAAAATGGCCAGAACTATAGATTCTTACCTATCATAAAACTATGTATATAATGCTGGATAAATATATGACAACATACATAATGGCCTTTGGTGTGAATTGATTGAGGAAGTTTATCATATTGTCGGATGACGTATACAGGGAATGCGGAACACCCTGGTTATACAGGAAGGAACACGATGGGTTGTCCTAATTTTTAAGACTTAAGTTCCGAGTTGTTGAAGTGTCTTTATTAAATCCCCACAATGAAACCTTTCACTATGCATTATAAAATTGGAATGCAACAAAAACCTCTCATTATTGTTTTCTTTCAAATAAATGATTTAATGTTTATCGCGTTGATCTCAGATTATCCTACTAGTATTTAAAATTTGATCGCAATTCGCAAGCAAGCAACTTTCGAGTTTCGATCCATGAATTATCATGCGTTGCAAATTATCACAAGATGTAGACCTAGATGTATATTTTGACCACCTCATTGTGATTGGCTATTCTGCTGGCATTGATATAGCTAGCATCAACATCCGTTGATTGTGTTGGGGAAATGCACTTGATATTGGAAGACAGCCTGTCATGTGAAGGCACGGTATTCGTCTGCTGTCACTCTCAATTCTCAAATGCAGAATTGTATGCAAAACAAGTAGTGACATGCTTGTGTGCTTGTGTAAGATTCACTGCCATGTTCGGCTAATTGATTTCGGTGTGGTAGCTATAACTTATTGTTATTTAGCAAGAGCACGAGTCATGACCAGTGCAAATGAGATAGCCAAGAACCCTGTGTTGCTAATCGTGTGTTTTTGGTTGGATTGTGTGGGGTTTCAACACTGTTAAATGCATTACTGCTATACGGTATCTGCCATATCTCTTTTTAATCACGTAGAAAACCAATAATGCACAACATCATGCACTGATCAGTTTAAGCTAAATGGCTTGCAAGAGTCTTGTATAGCGATCTAAGTACCCGATGGAACATAAATAC